TGGTACCTCCCCCACAATGGGCTTAACATTTTCAATATCCATGAAGCTCGAAATTAACATCCGATTCCATTTGGACTTGGCACATCTCAATATTTCCTTCAAACACAAGATCTGTTATAAAAATGGTATGGATCGAACCATTCCTCCTGGTACCTCCCCCACAAAGGGTCAAAATTTTGAATAGCCAAAACGATGATAAAATACGAAATAAGCACCCGGTTCTCTTTACATTGCATACATCCCATTATTTATACTAACACAAGATCTGTTGTGAAGATGGAATATATCGGTCCACTCCATCTCGTACCTCCCCCACAAAGGGTCAAAATTCTGAATATCCATGGAACTCATAAAACGTGAAATTAACATCCGATTCCATTCAGACTTGACACAACTCAATATTTAAATCAACACAAGATCTGTTATAAAAATGGTAGAGATCCTGACCATTTCTTCTGATACCTCCCCCACAGGGGGTCAAAGTTTCAAAAAAGCAAAACGATCATAAAATCCGAAATAAGCATCCAGTTGTCTTCATATTTCACACATCCCATTATTTTTACTAACACAAGATCTGCTGTGAAGATGGGACATGTCAGTCCATTCCTTCTGGTACCTCCCCCACAAAGGGTCAAAATTTTTGAATATCCATGAAGCTCATAAAACACGAAACTATCATCCGATTCCATTCAGACTTGGCATATCTCAATATTTCCATCAACAAAAAATCTGTTATAAAGATGTTGGAGATCAGGCCATTTCTTCTGGTACCTTCCCCACAAAGGGTTAAAGTTTTGAATAACCAAAACTATCATAAAATCCGAAATTACCATCCAACTCTCTTTCCTTATTTTTGCCAACACAAGATCTGTTTTGTAGATGGAATATATCGGTCCACTCCTTCTGATACCTCCCCCACAAAAGGGTCAAAATTTGGAATATCCATGAAGCTCATAAAAAGCGAAATTTACATTCGATCCCATTCAGACTTGGCTCATCTCAATATTTTCATCAACACAAGGTCTGTTATAAAGATGGTAGAGATCGGACCATTTCTTTTGGTACCTCCCCCACATAGTGTTCCAGATTTTGAAAAACAAAATATTTACTTTTCTCCAAAAAAATCACCAATTTTTATGTCGAATTTATGTTTCTGTTTTCAAAACAAAATCAAAATTTCGAAGAATTTTGCGAATTGGAAAAATGTCTCGATGACCAAAAATCTGTTCTTGGTTGCGGATTTCCCAAATGTGTGTTTACACATTCAACACCCATACTCGGTGGTTTATCGGCGGAAGCTGTCGCTTGTAGCCAACCAGTCAGCGATCAAAAACAAAACAAACAACTTTGCTAAACCAAAATTTCAAAGGAATTAAATAAAAATAATTGCGACGAACCGAATTAATTAGCATTTTTTATTAGCTGGCTGGCAGTTCTTGGGAAGCAAAACAAAGTCAGCAGCCTCTGATTTCGAATAAAAAATCCCCCCACAAAATTTGGAAAATCAAAAAAAATTAACTGTTATTTTTTGTTTAAACGAAACAAATCGATTTGTTTTTAACAAATTAATGGCCTGCTAATGATTTTTGTAAAAAAGAGAAGATTATTTTTCACATTTTCTCTCGCTCTCTCTCACAATCTGGTTTTATCTGCAAAATTACAAAAGGAAACAAAGATATTAGTGATCTACATTAGGTAGGTAGATAATTTCCCAACACCTTTTTGGGCCTCTTGAGCAGTAGCAGAGGGACACAACACAGATACGAACTCCCATCTTATCTTTCTCTTTCCTTGACCAAATGTCATACCAACAACACAGAGAGAAAGAGAGGTGCGTTGATACATCCATTCACACAAAGATTATATATTGAAATAGACAGGAAACTCCATATGCTAGCTGGCTTGCTGTTGCTGGATATTTGTAGTTTTTGTTGGAAATTTTACCATCATCTATTAAATGCACAGAGATATAACTTATTCACATATGTGTTTGGTTGTTGTTTTAGGTTCAGGCTTGTTTTCCCTGCCGGCCTGCCTGGCCTGCTTGCCAGCCATCCACCAGCCCTCATGCATTTCGAATTGATTTGAGGCGACAACTGTCGGCTTTATTTTATGGTTGTTGTTATTGCAAATTTGTTATTGCTATGACTTGCCCGCCAACAAAGCACCCTGTCTGCATGACCATCCGTCCGCCCGACCCTCCATCCGTTCGCCAGCCCATGCAATCATCCATCCATCCAGCTATATGCGATGACTTACTTTACTTATCTTTTGACTGCAAAATTTCATCCAACACTCACACTAACATTTACTCATTCACCTCTTTACCGCAATTGTCCCCTCTCTCTCACTCTCTGCCATTGCAACTGTTTGTTTGGATACTCTCGTCAACTAATACTGGGGGAAAATCTCTTTTAGCATTTACACTGATTGTTGTTGTGTGTTTTATAACAAAGAAGGTAAAACAAAAAAATGCATGCTCCCCATCACCCCTTTGCCAAGCGGCAACCCTCCAAAGACCCTATTTCCTTTTGCCGTAGGCCCCCAAAACAAACGACAAGAGACAGAGAATAGTCTTTCCCTCTCTGGTTTATGGCGGTGTGGTCAGTGTTGACAATTTAGCGATTTTCTTAACGGTCAAAAATTAAAGAATAAAGATTTTTTTCGAAAATTCTTAAATATTTCTATTGAAATAATTTTTTCATTTGCAAAAAAACCAAATTTCTTAAATAAAACTCCGAAGAAAAACACCAAATCCAGAAGTAAACTTTAGTTTAAATAAAATAAATAATTTGAAAAAACGTTTTTGGAAAACAAAATGGTCATAATTTTTCCGGCTTTAAATAGTAAATCTATAGAAAATACAAAATTTGGCTGAAACATTTGTGTTGTTTTGGACAAGTTAGAGGTGAGAAGAATAAAACCCTTGCTCACGAAGTGTTAAGGAAACCCAAGATTTCTTCGTTTCTCGTCGGTCTTTGAAACTGGGCATTTCACAAACGTCAATACACTGCATTTTGCATAAGGACTGAGAACAAGAAGACTTGCGGCAATGATAGCAGATAGAAATAAAGGAAATGGGTAAAAATGGCTTGTGCTGGTAATTTTCGGTCAATTCATTAAAATTGTGGCTATTAAATTCGCCTAGCCTAAATCTTGACAAAGTTCAATTAACATTAGAACTCAAATCTTTACTGATTGAAAAATCTCAGAGACGAATTTATGCAAATTTTTATGAAAAGAATATTGTCCTGTGCGTGCTCGTGGTGACCATTTGATATAGGGATACATAGTAGTAAACAAAAGTCGACTTTTCGGTAATCTCACTTTGTACATTCAGTTAAAATCGTTTTTTTTTTTTTTTTTTTTTTTTTTTTTGTTTTGAGCTAAATTGACTAAAATCGATTTGGAATGTAAATTTTTCGAGGTGTAATTCTGCCAAAACAGAGGATAAGATTGATTTTCTGAATTTTTCTTTGGAATTATGACAAGAAGAGAACAATACTCAAAAAAACTTTAGTCGTGTTTTATTATTTCATTCGTATGGACACGAAAAGTTGACTAAAGATCTATGACCTCTAAATCGAAAATTGATTACTAAAAATCGACTTTGCGCTTTCCGCTATAAAAGTCGGCTTCCACTCATTTTAAGCTTCAAAGTCGATTAATCGGACTATCGAAAGTCGACTTATATATCCCCATTCAAAACCTCAAATTTGACATAATAGAGGCTATCGAGGACATTGGAACAACCAATTTGCGGTTTGGAAAAATTTTATAAAAAGGATATTGTTCTGTAAGCGTGCTTGTGCTGGACATTTTGATCCTATTTTTAATTATGAACGGCATAACTCCCTCTTTTTTATAAAATAAACATCCGATCATTTATCTTACAGATGTTGCAATTTTCTTTGAATACCAAATAGCATATACATTTACTTCAATTAATAAAAAATATTACTTCTACATTTGTCCAACATTTTTTGGACCCGAATTAGCTTATTATTTATTTATTTATTTTTTATTTTATTTATTTATTTATTTATTTTTTTTTTTTTTTTTTTTTTGAAAAAAGATATGAAATCTAATTTTTCATTAACTTCACATATCCATTTCTTCAAAAACAAAAAAAATAAATAAAATCTCATTTTCCATCAACTTCACATAGTTCTCCACATTAATTATTTTACGTGACACAAAGCAAATCAAAGTACATTTCTTCGAAATTATACCAATATCCTTCATAATCGGATGGTCCAGACCGAATTCCTTTTTATAGCTAAAAATAACATTACGTCCTTCTTCTTCTCCAAAGCAAGTCTAATCCTTATGTATTTTTGTAAGGCAACATTTGTTAATAATCTTCTTCTTCTTCTCGTCATAAAATTGGTGTTATGTTTAGGTTTCTTCATGCCTTTTAAATTTCCTTGCAAATCATATTATGTAATTCTCCCAGCAATTATGTTTGATTTTTTATAAATTTATTAAGTGTTGTCTTAGATTTGTTGACGCTGAGTGCAGTATCCTTGTTCTTAAAAATTGTCCAACCTAACTTAATAATTTTTTTTATGAATAATGACTGTTATAAATTAATTACAGGCACATGATCTACCTAAATATATATTGAATTTGTATTGTTCAAATTACAGCGATGTTTTGCATTGAAACATTGGCAACATTGAAACCCACATAGTCATCGTCTGATGAGTGCCCGTACGTTAGTTAATCTCCTCATATTATAATATACAACCCAGCACACACAAACACACTCATACATACCCATACTCATACTCTCAACAGCAAATAATTGCGAATGGGAAATGCTCTTTTTGTGTGTTTTGTTGTTGTTGGTATTGTGCCGTTGCCGTTGCTGTGCTGTGCTGGGCTGTGTGTGTGTGTGCATATCTGTGTGCCATTGCTGCTGTCTGCTGCTGTACTCGCCAGCCACACCACACACCATTCCATTCCACACACAATGGGAAGCTCATAAAAGTCGTTGTTTCGCCTGCTGTGGTTTCAGTTATTTGAGTTTAGTCGTGGCTGTCACAGCTCCTTCTCTGCCTAAAACACATAAACGGAATAAAAGGAAATTGAAAAGAAAAAAAATCAGTAAAATATTGCAGTGCGGAACAGCAAACCTGAATAAGCTAAATAAAGTAACAACACACAGCAAAGAAAGAAAGAAAAAAATTAAAACAAAGTGTCAAATCACCAACAAAAGCTGAAAGAAATCGTTGTAACCTAGAAATCGCAAAGAAATAAAACGGTCTATAGCAATCTGTTCTGCTGGCATTTAAATTGAAAGCAAATTCAACATCCCAAATAATTAGCTACAAAGTGTAACATTTTGTAAAACCAAACCAGACGTTGCATCAAGTGTTTTGAAAATTATTCAAATCCAAAGAAGAAGAAGAAAAAGAATCAAAACAGTGACTGTTTTATAGAAAGCCAATAATTGTTAATTGTACATTTAATGCACAATATTTACAAAAACTTCATAATCCAATCTTTGAAAGATATCAGAACCAGAAATTTAAAACAAAACACAATAAGTTTTAAATTTTGGGAAAATTTCAAAAAACTTAAAAGTTAAAAAACAAAACAAAGCCCACAAAGCAAATCACAATTGCTATATTGGATTATTATTTTTATTGAACCGCAAAGGACAAATAAATAAAAAGGTAGGTCTTGTTTCAAAACAAAATAGTATTGAATCTAAAAATTAAGTTGTTATTTATTTCTAGTCTTAGGTTAGTTATTCTAAATTCATGAAATCCATGGAAATCAAGGAAATTTTGAGGGAGAAAAGTCAAGAAAGCAAAAGAAATTTTATGAAATTTGGCAAATTGATAACAGCGTACAAGTCGAAGATAACAGAAAACTTCAGAATTCCATTGCAATTTAATAACAAAAAAATATGCCACGCAGAAATTTTTTTTCGCAAATCTGGAAGCTTCAAATGAAGGCAGTTAGAAGAAATTGCTCTAAAAGTAAAATATATCAAAATCAGACAACGATAACACCAAGCTTCAATATTCCACAGCAAATTAAGAACGGACAGGAAAATATTTCAAAAATGTAATCGGAGATATTGGTGGCATACCAAAACTATGAAATGTTGGGAATCTTCAAGTAAAGGATGTTAGAAAAATAATACAAGAGATATCACCAAGCTTCAGTATTTCAATGCAATCTATAACAAAACCAGACAACATTTAATAATATTTCGGAAATGTTATTAGAAATATTGGTAGTATTTCAAAAATATGGGAACTTCAAGTGAAAGCAGTTAGAAAGAAAAAGAAATTGCTGCAGATGCAAATTATTACAAATTTAGACGAAGATAACTCTAAGCTTCAGTATTCCATTGCAATTTAATAACAGAATCGTACGATCTAGACAATTATTTCGAAAAATATGCTATCAAACAAAATCTGATTTCAGATTATAAAGCTCATTTCGACAATAATTGAAAGAATTCAAGCAGAAGCCAACCGATCAGTAGAAACCAACAAACAGACCTATTTTTATATCCTCCACCATAATATGGAGGGTATATTAACTTTGTAAAATCCGTTTGTAACTCCTCGAAATATTTATAATAGACCCTAAAAGAAGTATATATATTCTGGATCAGCGTAAAATTCTAAGTCGATCTAGCGATGTCTGTCTATCTGCCTTTCCGTTATAATCACACTATCTTTCAAACGAATTGAGATAGAAGGCTCAAATTTTGCATACGTGCATAGTTTACCAGTAGACAGGTTAAGTTCATAAATAGGCCATGTCGGTCCACGTTACCTCCCGATATTCGATATTTTCATGACTTTGGCGACATTATTTACCGGAATTATTTCAAATTTCGTATTTAAAGTTCGTGATGGATGCTACAGGCTATGACAAAATTTTTGGTATGCAGGTCCACGTCTTCGTATAGCCCCCAATATGACGGTACCTCCCAATACTCGGTATTTTTATGATTTGTGCGACATTATTCACTGGAAATGTAACAAATTTCGTATTAAAAGTTCGTAATTGGTAATACAGCCTATGACAAAAAACACAGAGACAGTGAGGTCTCTATAGGATCTTAAAGTTGAAACACAAAATTCCTTTTTTTTAATTTCGAGTCCAAAAATATCTTCAAGACTTCCGTTCTTTTTCTCACCTCTGATAACGGAAGTTTCAAAAATTTGATATCAAAATATTTATAAAAGGAAATTGCTTCCTCATATTTTATCTGCAATTTTTCTGAATTCCAGTCACTTCTCTAAAGAATCTAAAAACTTAAAGAAAATCCCTTATTTGATTTTGTGTCTAAAAATATTCCCAAGACTTCCTTCCTTTATCTCACCTCTGATAACGGAAGTTTCAATATTTTTTTGATATCAAAATATTCAAAAAAATAAAACTTCCTCATATTTGATTTCCTTCATTTAGAAAGTACCAGAAAATGAAATATCTCTTGAAAAAAAATTAAAATACTACACAGACAACAGCTGCTGCTGCTGGCTGCAAAAGTTGATGACCTCGACAAGCTGTTGACTACTTCATATATATTTTTCCTTCTTCTTTTTTTCACTTTGTTTTTGATGAGGGGTGAAAAAAATATAAAACTTATTTGGGTGTGCAGAAATATAAACTCGTATCGTATGGATAGCCAGACAGGGCATGATGATGATGATGTAATGGAGAAATAGAGGGTGGATGGGGATAGGCAAGCAAAGGGAAAGGGGGAATTTAAATATTTTGGAGTCAGAGGAAGAAATTTAAAAAAGAAATGTCACGGAGGGGAAATAGAGTTGTTGACTCTTTAAAAAAATGTGGGAAAACCCACTGTTCGAAATGAAGAGTCTTCCCCATGAAAGCATGAATCAGAAGTTATTTTCCCATAATACTCACCCTAAAGTTGGGGAATAGTTTCTACTTTCAAACCCATAAAAATAAACATTACGGAGGGGAGAATCTTTTCCATGAAAAATTTGAATTCGGATGTGTTCTCCCATCAAACTTTCCCTAGAATTGGGAAAAAGATTTGATTTTGAAACTCATAAAATTACACAGTTCGAAATGAAGAGATTTGAAAGATTTTTCCCATGAAACTCTTTCTAAATTTGGGAAATATTTTTTTATTTGAAACCCCATAAAATCAAAATAAACCATAAAACCTTACCTAATGGTGGAGGCTATTCGAAGCTCGCCCCCGCCGAACTTACAGCTTTTTTACTTGTTTTTATTTGATGGTTTATCATTTATTTCAAAATATATTTTCAATTGCCAATAAACACTTCCCATTTGTTTTTCTGGTCTATTAACGAAAATCTGTGTCACCTATAATTAGAAATAGTAGATTAACAAAAAAAAAAAAACACAAACAATTTATTTATGTAAAGCAACTGTAATTGAAATAATTTGTTTTATCAGCATCAGGGTTAAGTACATGTGTCTCTGAGGCACTTTCTGACAATTTTGTTATGGTGACAGCTTTAGATATTACATGGCGGCAAGTAGTACATTCCCCCCTTTCAAAGCAAAAAAAAAAAGCGAAACCGAAACTAAATGTAATTATTTTGTTTTATAAATACAATTACAACAAAAACACGGCCTTGAATTACAACAAACTTTTCACAACAGCTTGTCATGTGAAATATCTGTTACAATTTTGGCTTATTTCGTTTTGTTGTTGGTTTTTCTTCTCGTTTTTTTTTTTATAAAATTAAAACGTAATTTTTGTTGTTTGTTATCAAATTGGGAAGTGGTTGCAAATCACAGAAAATAAAAACAAAACCAAAAAAAGGGGAGGAAGCCTTTTAACTGGGATTTTCGCTAAACAATGCAATGCATTATTCACATGGTATTTAACTATAGATTGTTATAATTCAAATGACAGTTCAATTCAAATTTTCGCTTCGCTTTGAGTCAAATTTTTTTTCTTATACAATTTTATGAATTTTTATTTATAAAAATCGCGTGATCATTTTTCCCATAGCCAACAATCCTCTCCTACCCCACCTCCTCGTCATGATTTTTTTTTCAAGTCATCCCCCAAAATTATGACTATAAAAAAAATTATAAAGATTATTTTTTTTCTGTCGTTCGTTTTTGTATTTTAATCACATCTATCATCAAACAGTCGCAGAGCGGCGACGACAAAGCAAATACACGCGCCTCTCTTGTGGCTGGCTACCCTTAGCACTAATATTGAGTCTAGACAACCCCAGTCCCTCGCTTACCCCATAGCCATGGCCCACATCTTCACAATTTTTTTTTTTTTATTTCAAGAGGTGGCGTCTCGTCGTTCTAATTTGCAATTAATAATTTATTGCGGTTTTAAATAACGTAAAAAATCCCTTAATTCGGAATTTCTAAAGTTGAGGCGATTAGAAAAAAAATCACATGGATTTTCTGGGTTCTTAGAACTAAGATTCATAAATAATGTGCAATAGGAAATTAAGATTATGGAATTTTTATGGTATTTGAGAACAGTTTTAAAAATAGAATTTGGAACATTGCGGAATTTATTTATTTATTTATTTATTTATTTATTTATTTATTTTTTTTTTTGCAAAATTTCCACAGCTTTCATAAGTTGACCTCAATTTTGTATCAAATAATGATTTTAAAATTGAAATTATTTATTTAAATTTATTTTTTATATTTTAAAAATATTTTCATTTTGAGAACTTTCATTGTTTCGATAATTTGGCCTCAATTTTATTTATATATCACCAGTATTTTTTTTAATTTTAAAATTATAAACATTTATGAAATTTAAAAAAATATATATTTTTTTTGCGAACTTTCCATTGTTTCGATAAATTGACCTCAATTTTTTCTTAAATATTTATATACTATCACAACACCAATAATATTTCCTTGCCATATAGGTAGGTGGTGTCTGATGAATCATATGTTGTAAAAATACTCGGGCTGTGATGATGTGTCATTGCGCTTTAGAAAAATCTCATGCATTCATCCGCATCTCTACCAGTCCCACGATCACCTTTTCTCTCACCCGCATCCGTTTATTTTCCTACGGCCCATAAAAATGTAATTTTTATTATGGACAATTATATGTGTTAAATATAAACTTATGACTGAGAAAAATGCCCAAACAGCAGCAATATTTCCAAGAGAAATTCTTTGGAATGCCAACAGCAAATCCTATAAAAATAATAATTTACATTTTAGTAATTTTTTTTTTGTTGGAATTTACATTTGTGCATTTCAGGGGAAAGTAATAAAAAGGAAATTCTAAAAATTCTTTAGAATAATGTGTAACATATGGCATTTTTTCTAGCTGTAATATTTTTTTTATTTATTTTTTTTATGGATTTACAAAATTTAGTGCAATAGGAGCATGCCATTAGCTTCCATATTTATATTTTGATTTCCATTGGCTTCTAACCTTTTTTGAGATCTTCAGAATGACAATTGTAGACATTTTTCAATTTTTATTCATTTAAAACCTACTCCTTCATGCTCTTATTCAATGATAATCATGTCTGCTGAGAGACTTCTTCAACTCTCCCAATTGCAATGGCGGTCATTCTCTTTTTATTACGATTTCGCATTATTGGCCATGAAAAATAAAAATATTCATAATTCCCCTCCCCCTGTTTTTTTAAGTACTCACCACTAATGAAAGATCAAAAATACCTTCAACCTAGAAACAGAAAACCTTAGAATAGATTTCTGTGTTTCTATATATGAATAAACTATCATCGTGCAATTCTATTTTTACAATTTTTTATTTCAAAATGTTCGCAGACGTGTGTGTGTGGTGAATAGCATTGGCTGACACATGTACAACAAAACAGCAACGAAAAAAATCTCAACAATTTTACAACACATTTTATTGCAATAACAACAACAACTGCTGCTGTACTGCTGTTTCTCAAGTATGCAACACTGTACGATTTGCCATTTTACATATTCTCACACACGGGCAATGGGTACGGTTCCTCACTCTCTCTCTCTCCTCCTCCCATTACTCCCCCTTTGAGTTGATCATTCATACACTTGGCTCTTTGTTGTGTTTGGCTTTGCCTTGTTGGCTCCCTCATGTGGGGCTCGTCATCTATGCCAACACACGAACAGCTACTCTTAACTCCCCCTTTCCTCTCTCTCACTCCGTTTCTCCTTATTACAACTCTCATGGATAGTTTCTTTTGTTTTTTTAATGTTTTTGTTTTTGGCGAACTCCTCATTTATTAGACATTTGTTTTGTTTTGTTGGCATTGCCTTGCATTGCCTCTGAGTGTATCACACACAGTTGTAATATGTAGTGTTGTACTCTTGACAGTTACCTAGTCGTTGGTGTCAAAAATAACCACATTTATGAAATGAAATCTGGTTTTAATCACAGCACACACTTGCAAATAAATTTATTGTATGTGAGTTTTTGGTTGAGGGGAAAATGATTACAATTTCCTCTTTGAAATTGTGGTGTGCTGGCATTGCTCTCTCCCCGCCAAATAATGTGAACATATAGCCGCCGCCATACCACCACTACTTATTTAATTGGCCAATATTGAACTTTGTTCGAAACATGCGAATGTGCTATTTAACATTGGTTAGCACACGCTGTAGATTGGTGTTTTAGGCAAAAAATATATATTTTTTAAGAATATAATTAGTAATAAATTATTTTTTGTTAATTTATGTAACAAAGGGACTGAAGCAAAATATTACAACGATTTTAAAAGCAAAATATCATTGAATTATGTCTTGTTTTCGCAAAAATATTTTTAGGTCGTATAATAAAGAGTTGAGAAAATTTTTAAAAATGTAATTTTTTCATTTATATAACACAGTAGTTGTTGCTATTAAATGAAAAATATTTTTAAATGATGTTTTGTTTTCGCAAAAACATTTCGAGGAGATGATGATCTCAAAATAGTTGCCTTTTTATAATTTTAGTAACATTTCACCCGATAAATTTAAATTTTTTGCCATGAACCTCGCAAGTGAAACTACGTTTATTTTTAATTTGAAAAGAATTTTAAAAAATTATTTTCAAATTAAAAATAAACACAGAATAATATGCCTCAATATGAACACCTGTACATTTTTTATTATTTCATATTGTGCACCTGTGGTGTGGTTTTATTGGCCATTTTGTATTGATATGAAATTCTCTGTGGTTATGAACTTTTTGTTTCAACATTTTCTGCTTGATTGAAATTTACAAGCCTTACTTAAAAAAAAAACTAAATTACCTTGACAACATTTAAAAAAGAGGCTTGAATTAATTTCAATTCAATAACAAGTGGAAATTAATTGCAAAATTTCAAAATTATCCAACATATTCAAAAATCCCCTTTTAGTGTTAATAGTAATAAAATCTCATTAATTTCAAAATTATTTTCTGCCAAATTTGGTACATCAAAGCCAAGCCTGTGTGAGTGGCTGTAGTGGCAGCTACACGCGCTTCTTTTTAACAAAAGAACGCCAGGCACATAAATGGTGGTTACTCCTTAATTGGAGGGGACCACATATTTCTTGTTGCCTTTGCCACTTTATTGTTTTTTGTGTTAAGTCATGCTTGGCATATAAAAAAAGGCAACAACTACTACAAAATTTACTATTGATTTCTTTTGGTAGACATGGCCAAAGATTAATTAGTCTCGATACCCAGCCGTATTGAGTTTCTTATGTATCTACATGTACCTACTTGTTGGTATTCTGGCTTTAACCAGTTCCAGCTAACTCTGAATCATTGGCTTGTTTTATTGGTTGGTTTCTTGTTGCTGGCGAGATGGTGGGGATCTCTCAAACAAATTTACCAAGAAAGCCGAAAAGAAATTGTTGCTAAGTGTGTTTTGGCATTTCTTTACAGGTTTTTTGTTTTTCAATTCAAAATTTAAATTCAATTCCAAAAACAATAAAATATTCTCAGCATAGCTTTCATTAAAAGAGTTTTGTTATTTAAATTTCTTAATGGGTACCTATGTGAATGGTGTTTATTCTTTTGCAAAAATTAAATGGAAATTTCTCGAATCAATTCTTCATTTTACAATTATTTTTTTTAAAGTTTCTGTATTTCTTTCCTTCTTCCACAATTACTTAACTAGTTTTTAGGTTTATTTAAACAAAACTGTTTTATCAAAAAATTTTTTGTCGACTCTTATTTTTGGAAAATATCGTTTCCGGGTTTCTTTAGTATTTTTTTATTGTTGTATTTTGACATATTTTCTCTTTATACTCTCCGTTTTATGCATTTATCATTAACTATTCTATTTTCTGTTTTTTTTTTTGGTTTTATTGCAGCCACAACAATGTCTTTAGCCAGTGTACAGGGTCCACAATTCACCGATATCTGTCCATTGGGGTAAGTTTCCAAAATAAAAACCAAAACGCAAAAACAACTACAGTAGTCGTTTTTGTGATAACATTTTATATTCTATGTAGGTTCATGATAAACCGTTTAAACGTTAAACTTTGATTTATCTTACCTTCATTTTGCTGAGTCATTTCTGTTTGGTTTTCGTTGTTTTTGTTCTTTTTTGTTTATTAGAGAGAGGTTGCTTTAGATTCGTTGTCATTCATTAAGCTATTGCCTTGAATATGATTTATTAGTTTCTTTAAATTAGTTAAATAATAAATATTTTTAAGGAAGTAGCACAACTCTTAATTCAATAAACTCTCTTCCCGAAAAATAAAGAAATAATCTTTAAATTTGTAAAATTTCCCAAAACTTACATTAATTTATATATATATATATTTTTTTTAAATTTCTGAGTTGCACCATTAATTGGATATCAAATAATAGCAAATGTATTATTTACCCCCATAAAATCCAAAATTTCCTCGATCTATCAAAAAACTTAAATAAAATTGATCAGTGTGATGAGTAGCCAGACCACTTAATGATCCAAATGCTTTTTACCTTCTCATCTGGATTATTTTACTCTAATTCTTCCATTAATCAACATTCAAAACAAAAATTTGATGTATTACCCGGCCACTTTATATATACAAAGTCATGCCTCTCTTTCTTTCATGTGAGACATCTTTTGAGAGAACAATTACACGAATCAATCAAAACAATCGATATTGATGTGCCACTTTGATAAAGCCCGCCATTACAGCAGTTTTCGTTTATTTTTCTTTTCTTTTATCTGGTGTTTCTTTGGGTCAATAACCGGAAATTGACTTGTTAAGTGTAACTCTCTTATTGTTATACTGATAGGAGAGGAACTGTTATGATAACAGAGATCATTGTCCATTCTCTATTGTTCCTTTTTAATGAATTGAGAACAGAGATGGAGAGTATGAAATAATGCAAATCTTTAAAAAACAAAATCTTTTTTTTGGACAAAATTCAAAGTCAAGGCTCAAAAGTTTAGAATGACTTTGAACATTTTTCTTTAAATTATTAATCTCCCAATAAAATGTTAAGATAACACCCTCTACAGAGTTTTTTTCATTCATCGATTTTTATAGATAATTTTTTTTGTTTTAAATTTAAAAATTTCCACAAAAACAACAAATCGCCACAATCTCACTGATAAGATTTAATTTTATTTATATACCTTTTTTTTTAATTTAATACAAATCGTTTAACGTCATTCGCCAATCATAAATCTTAAGGGGGGGGAGTTATTTAAACTTGTCACAAGGCCATCATAAATTTCATGTTATTAATCTTCAACTTTACTCTATTTCTTTGCAGACGCACTAGTCTCAGTATGTCCTCCTCTTTGTCGGATTTGGTTGGCAGTCCCTTGGAAATTTCCATGGACAATGTCTTGACCATTGAAGAGCTGCGTCAACATATGGGTTCCTGTTTTACCTGCGGTGTTTCGTGGACCGATGATCACGTCTCGTTAGACTGCAGTGAATGCGGTGGCTATAGTGTAGAACGTCCCTGCCCCCTGTGTGATGGCCAATGTGGCGTCCAATGGAAACGTGATTTTACAATGGTGAGTTGTAACACCCTAGAGCATTACAAACTGAACTTTTTGCTAACTTTTCTCTTCTTCTGATATTACAGTCACATGCCTGCGGTAAAGCTCGTTGGTTGGGTGTGTGTCCCACTTATCCCGAAGCAGCTGCCCACTTTAATGCCACCACCTCTGCAACCACCACCATTACAAATGCCTGCAATCCCAGTGCCGCTTCCTGTGCTGCAGCTGCTGCCACTCAAATGCGCTTGGCCACAGAGTTGTGTGCCCGCCTGGAACAGTTATCGGCCTCGGCTGGCTCATCAACAAATCACATATGAGTCAATGGCCGCCAACATCCTCATTCAAGAACATCATCCACGCCATTGAAGACACACACACACACATAACCATCATCAACTTAAATTTAGTTAAACCAGAAAGAAAAAAAGAAGAATCCGAAGAACCCTGCTCACTGTCGTACAACCAAGGGCTTCCCCAGGAAATCTCTTAAATGAATAACATGAAGTTCCAACGGTTCTGTACCAAAAAAAAACATGTGGCTGCTCAAATACGCTTCACACCCCCGATTCTTCTTTAGTTTCTTAAAATATTATTTTGTAATATTTTTGTATAATTTAAGTAATCACTAAGTTTTAAGTTATCCTCGCCGCTACAACAACCTCCTACCCGCCCGCATCTCCCCCCATTGAAACATCTTAAGATATAAGTACGGTTTAGTTGAGAGGAAAAAAATTACAGCTTTTTTGTAATTGTAAGCCACCAGTTACTAAATGGGTATCATCAAAACAACAAAACAAAGAAACCAAGAACTAGTCGCTTGTTTTTCGATCTTCAAAGAAAACGGAAGAGAAACGATTACATCCATGCCTGCATTGACTGACTGACTGCTCCACTAAACGAAATCTAAACTATAAGTGAAAAAAGACTATTGCTTTAAGTTATATGATATTAAAACATAGAGAAATTGGAAGAAAACCTAAAAGAAAATAGAAAAAATATAGAAATGTGTTTTTTTTTTTTCGTTCCTTTTTTGTAAGCCAGAGAATAGAAAACAAAGAACTCTATATGCTGCGTACCTACCTATCTATCCAATAAAAAGTAAAACACAAACAAATGTATGTATGTAAATGTATTTATGTTTTATATATATAGAAACTATATAATAAAAAGAAAATTTCAAAACATACAAAAATGCTAGCTTAAAAAAAGATTTTATCTAAGAGATACTTTTTTATTCTTTTTTTCAAGAGTTCCAAACCGACGGCAACACACACACACCCAGATATATTTTTTCTATTTGTAAATTGTAAAATTTATGCTCAATTCTTATTATTTTTTATTTTTTCAAAAACAAATCCGTATTGTACTTAACAAGAAAAAGCTCAAATTAAATTGTCTTTTGTCATGTAAATTTTTCGTCTTTCTTAATTTGATTTTCTGTGAAAATCAAAAGGCAAATTCTTTTTATATTAATTAAAAGAAATATATATTTTTTATAGATAAATGCAAAAATAAAAACAAATCTGTTAATTTGATTTCTTATTTTTTTACAGTCATTAAAAATACAATATTTATGTGATTTATTTTTCCAACTCCACAAACACCCCAAAAAAGCAACAATTTATTATTAAATTAATTTCTTTTTTAAATAAACCACTTAAAAATTAAATGGGCAAATGTGTTTTTTTTTATACCCTACACCACAAGGTGGTCAGGGTATTATGTCTTTGTGCATTTGTTTGTAACAGGCAGAAGGAAACGACATAGACCCATAGTTCCTTTTGATGATCTTCATAGAATCACATTCTGAGTCGATTTATGCATGTCCGTCCGTCCGTCTGTCCATGTATTTTTGTAAACAAAGTACAGGTCACATTTATTGCCCGATCCAGATGAAATTTTGCAAAGATCTTTTGTTTGGCCCAAGGGCGAACCCTATTGAAATTGGAGATAATCGATCAAAATTTAGATATAGCTCCCATATATATTTTCGTCCGATTTGCCTTTTATTGTGCACCAAACGTGTAATATCAGCCCAAAGTGTATGGAATTTTGCATATACACCCAAATTAGGCCTGAAAATATGTATGCGAAATTTGTTCGAAATCGGTTCAGATATAGCTATAGCTCCCATATATATTGTTCATCCGATTTGTTATATTTGTTACCCACATCCGTAATATGCACTCCGTAACAACGATATTCAGGGAAATATATCAAATACAGCTCAGAAATATCTTTGCTAAATTTTATCGAGATCGGTTCAGATTTGGATATAGCTCCCATATATATCTTTATCTGATTTCAAATTGATTTTGCACCAAATGGGCAATACAATTCCGAATTTAAAAGATACAAATGCTTCGGCATATTTAGCCCTTTGAACTTTAAATTATAATTATAATCATAGCGTGTATGATTGAATTCTCCCATTAAAACTTTTAATTGTTATGTGGAGCTCTACTTAATTAGCAAGGTGGTGTAGGGTATCATAAAGTCGGCTCCGCTCGACTTTAAGACTTTCTTCACTGGTTATTGGTGTTATATGAGGTGGGGACTAGATGATATTCTATTGTATATAGTTGGCATGGATAATTGTCCATATTGCTGACAATCCCATACTCATGACACGATTGAATTCCATCACGAATCACTTTTTTCTGGAAAATTCCTCACCATAATGATTTTGTACGCTTGTAAACAATATAATAAACTTTCATTGGAATAATTCTAACTGATGTCGGAAGAGTGGCTTTGAAATGACAGCAGTGTGAAATTGGTTGCAGTTTTTTTTATCTCACCCTGTACACATGTGTCATCAACACCTGTGTCCGGCGCCACGATCGTACAATCATCCGTATAAGTTACGATCTCCAAGCCGTCTGAATGGTTCCAGAAAAGGTAAACAGTTCTCCCTACCTTGGATAACACCCTGTTTCACTCGAAGGCGTTTTGTCTTTTTGTTTCAAACTTGACCGGAGGGTATTTCCCCCTATATCCTCAGACAGCGTGGCGTGGTAAAATGTATCAAATACTTTTTGGTCAAGATATACTAACTCTGTTTAATTCTTGATCGAAGATTCACGCGAGTCGTCGGCCATCTACGTCACTCCTGTTGTCCAAAACTTTGCGAGGTGTCACGGCTCTAAATTACTTTAGGCTGAGACTTTAGAACACATGCGTTCGTTTTATTTCTAACATTTTTTCTATATTTTATTTATTTTAGTTTTCATAGAAAATGCTCCTCCATTTTCCCATTGTATTTGGCCTTTTCATTACCTCCAACGCTTGGGAATATTGTAAACCCGGCATCCATGAGAAATTGTGTGAGTCCCCTAAAATTCACACCGTCTGTGATCCATCTCAAGCTTTCGACGATGTAAGTAAAATGGTTGAAGAATCAAATTCGATAAACAACTTATTCCAAATGTATTGCAGAAAGTCAGCATGATTTCAAATGAGTTCAAAGGTCATGTGCCAATAACCAAGAAAATCAAGAGGATTTTTATGCACATTCATAATGATTATCGTAACCGTGTGGCCAGCGGTGAAGAAGTCAAAGAGGGTACGAGCGATAAATTCCCCAAAGCCTCGCGGATGCGTGAATTGATATGGGACAATGAATTAATGTATGTAGCACACATTCATACGGCTCAAACGCGCATGGGTCACGACAAGTGTCGGGCAACACAACGGTTTCCAAATGCTGGACAAAATTTGGTTGGAAAGATTCTTTGCTCCTTTCAATATTTGTTAATGCTTTTTATTATTTAGGGTTGGAAAGGTACTGTCTGCTCCATACCAATCATTGAAATGTTAAATGAATCCCTACATGAAATGTATATGGAGAAGAATATGGTCCCAGATCCTGTGGCCATGGCAGCCGAGTATAATACAGCGTAAGCTACCAAAGTTTTCTCTCTTTTGGTAAATATTTATTATCGATATTATTTACGTAGGATTAAAAATGCCAAAGTCGGTCATTTCACGGCCATGGTAAATGATCGTACATCGCGTTTGGGTTGTGCAATTTCTATTGGTGCAAATTGTAAAGCTCCCAGGTAAGAATACTGATATATTATTTGGAAGTCCTCTTTCCTAATATTGAACATTATAGTGCGGACAAAACATATCCTTGGTGTTATTATTTGGCGTGTAATTATGATGGCACAAACATTTTGAATAGCTTTATTTACAAAACGGACCCACAACAATCAGCATCTCAATGCTCCGACTGGGGAGTTGGCAAAAGTCTGGTGTATGAACATTTGTGTGGTAATACCGGCGAAATTTTCGATCCGAAAAAATAAATGATTTTTCGTATCGGCTGGTCTACAATTGTGTGTTTTAAAAAATAAATATTGCCTCGTCTAATTTTTTTGAATGTGAATTCACAAATTATCTCAGTGTAAATTTCCAGGAATCAAGGAGCTTCATCTACGATCCAGAAAATGTCATAGCTTTTCCAAGAAATATTAGCGAAGTTTTTACAGCCTACCATTGAGAGAGAGATAACATTGGCCTACGAACTCTAGTCTGGTGCCAAAAGAGACTCTTTCTGTTGCAAGCCTTAGAAAAAAGGTTACATTTGGAACCAATAATTAAGACCAACAACTCGCTGGTAAGCGAAGCTTTCTACAACGTAGTTGACTACATAAAACAACAACGAACAGTAACTATAGTTAATAGTTAAGCAGATCTAAATGTCATCGAATCATCCCAAATCCAAACGATTTCGTTCTGAAATACAGATTAGCTCTGGAAAAAAAAAATAATATTCGTTTGTGTTGAGTTCCGAATCATTGCAACATGAAGGGAGAGGTGAATGTTGTCTTTTGTCAATTGAAGCGGCCTCATCTCTATAGATATCGGATTTATCATAGTCCCACAAAAATAGTCTTAAGGCGTTAAATCACAAGATCTAGGCAGACTATTGACAGGTTCCGAATGTGAAATCCTGTCCTGTGTTAAGCCTGCTGTGTAGCATGTGACACCGTCTTGTTGAAGCTGGATATCATCTCACGGTAGCGGTCACCATTTAAACTTGCCTTACGATTTGCATTTTTAAAGAAGTACGGTCCCGCCCGTCTACAAAACGCAGCAAACTGTGACCTTTGCAGTACTTCTGGCTGATATACACCCTAAAAGTGACAATTCTGCTTGTTTACGTAGCCTTTGAAGCAAATATGAGCTGCCTATAAGATTTCAGAAATGTTCGATGAACTTTCATCACGGTGCACGCATTTTTAAAATAAAATTCAATGATACCCTCCCTGCCCATACCTTTTAGACGATTCAAGGTTAAATCAAAGACCGAATTTAAGATGGATATCAGATATAAGCTCGATGGACTATGAAAAAAGGGGTTTTGTATTAATTATTGCAACATTCGGCCCAAAATAACTGAAATATATAGTCCTTGGTTGTGATTCCATTACTGCAGGTTGTATGAGGAAGAATAGACTGTTACTTTATGTCAAGACAAGAGAATATGCATTTAAGATGAGCCCTAACAACAGAATCTCAATGCTTGCATAAGTTTCGCTAAGGGGCTTAACAAACTATGATCTATAATCTCGGATTTTCAAAACAATTTTCTACGCTACGTTCATCAAGGCGATGACGACTTCAGAGCAGATTATATACCCTGCCCAATTAGTTTGTTGTATATAATCAAACATATTTTGGACTCGATCCACAACAAAGCAAGCAATTGCGTTTACTAGGCCTCCGATCATTTCGTATTAAGTACTGCAATGATTTGTGGGGATCTGAAATTAAAATAAGGCGTACATTTAAAAAAATTTTTATAATCTTGAAACTTTTATTTACCCATCAAATCCCCATTGCCTTGGCCATCTGTTGCTGGTTCATACTTTTGTAAATCTTTTGTTAACATCTTAATATCTTCTATGGCATTGGTGATACTGGATAACTCCTCTTGATTAAAATCTGGAGCTATTTGCTTGCATAAAAGTAACTGACCCAGCACATTACCAAAATTTGTCGGCCTAGAGCGATTTTCTAAAACAATTTTTTTTAGTTAATTATATTAATTTTACATCTACTGTTACGAAAACTTACCATACAACTTACTCATGTCCATGGGTATAATTTGTATGAGACGATAACACTTATATAGTTCGTTGGAAAATAATTCCAGTAATTGGCAAAGTAGTACGGCATGTGAAGTATCCACATCCTCGGTAGAGCTGAAAAACGAGATGAACGGAAAACAATTCTCTATAAAAAACGAATTCTCGTAATGCCGTATATTTATTGTTTGTTGGTGCAGAAATGGATTCGAAAGAAAACACCAATTTCACGGATGTTTTGCAAAATTGTGATTGGAATGTTGGTACTTTTTAGCATTCACTTTTGTATCGACACGCATAAACAGGCCCCTAAAAACTGCATGTAAAAAATGTAGAAAATTATTTCGACAATTTTTTTTTTAAATTTAAAAAATCAGACATGATAACAGCAAAACTTTTTACCACAACCTTAAAAAATTGGCTTCCATTTACAAACCTTTTCATCAAATCAACTATTACTTCATTGGCATGTTTGGATTCTTCCAAACATATATGACGATATTTTCGAATTCTTTCACGTAATTCAGGATTATCTTTTGATTGGCCAACATGGATCAGCATGTCCCGAAATATGGTCAAATGTAAGTTTAAATCCATTATGAGCTAAAATATTTCATATCTAATTTATTATAATTATCATATCTTATTCCGTCCTCCATTGATTACCTTTTGTGGATTTTTGGTTGGTAGAAATATATTGGGAACATATATGGACAGACGATGTGCTATAACCATAGAATTTCGATAGCTTTCATAATGATAACCGTAAACATTGGCCATTGCCATAATATTGAAATAGCAAAGTGATTTTATTTTTCGATGTTTAGAAGGGGACTGAATGCCACAGACTAAAATCATTCAGCCAAGATTGGCCTTTTTTAAAGGACAACACTCTGAATGGCCTGTCTTTGGAATGAATGAAGCTTTTGTATGCAACATAAAGCAAACATTTATTGTATTTTTTTGTTTCATTCATGAAAAGATATGTATGTACTTATATAGATTTTGGGGTGTCTATGTGTGGTGCATTTGGTTCCAGTAATGACTAGCTGGATATTGCTAAAAAAGGTGCATGCATTTTAAAGCATGGCGCAAAAATAAACAATGGACCCATTTTCTATGAATGTCGTTGGCAAAAGATTTGACCCCTTTTTACATTATGTTGGAAATATTTGAATCAAGGAATTAAATAATATTGTATGTTAAATACTTTATAGTGAAAAAATCTCGAACATTTGATAACAACAGTTTTTATAAGCAGTAAATCCAAATTTTAAAACAATTATTTATTCCCAAAAATGATATTAAAGCCAAAAAGTAATGGGTGAAGATACTTATGATCGGATGTAGCATGAAACCCGATTTGGAATTCTTTATATAGCCATATTATGGAAAAACTTGATTTCCTATACACTGTACATACACTCTAGATGGACTTAATTCTAAGTCCAAGGCGGAAGTGTTACTTAAGAAACGGATTCTGCAGTGCTCGCACAGATCCGGTTTTTAAAAAACAACCTTGTTATGAAAAATGTTTTCTCTGCGGCACCCTGTATTGTAATATGTTTTCATTCCATGTTCAGGGATGGAATTTCCCCCTTCCAAATAATCATTTTTCTCATGGCAGCCTCTTTCTCTTTCAAAGACTTTTGTTTCTCCACGTTTTTATTGACAATTTTTTTTCTAACTCTCTTATAAATATATCAACTTTAAATGCTTCCAACTGAAAATGTTGTCTTTTTTCAAGCAATGGGTTAAATGCTGAGTTCCTCAAGAATCTGGTTCTAGCTCTCATAGTTTCATTAAATGAACATTTCCTTTGAACTACTTGGCTTCTGGACAACCACTTCATAACTATAATTCCTTTTTCAATTCCAAAATAGTTTTTGAAGAAAAAATGAATTGTTTTTAAATAAATAAATGAATTCTTAAAAAGTTCCCCAACTAAAGAAGAAGCATAACTAAAATATTTTTATACATCAAGTTCATCAAGCAAAGAAATTTAATAGCGGGAATTCGTTCCTTTTGGTGAACGATGCAATTGAACATTGTGTTATCAATCCCGGTTGAGTTATTGTTGTTCCATTTCAGTGAATGTCCTTTAGTTTTCTTTCGATGAAGGAGCATTGTTTTGAGACAAAAATAAGTGAAATTAAAAGTTATTTAAAACAATAATTAATTAATAATAATAATTTGACCAATAGAATTGAACTGAACAATATTCTAGAAAATAATACTAATTATCTTCAGCTAAGCTCAGTGGCTATTAAGACTCGGCTCTATTTTAAGGCGATTTTTATATTTTTACATATAATAAGCTATTGTAGTTATTTTATTAAATAAGCGTGAATAGTGTACAAACTACAAGTCAATTACAACTTCTCGAATAATTGTGATTTTCTATTAGTATTTAAGTGAAAAAGTTTCCTATTTAAAGGATATCGGATTTTTTCCTTTGCCAGTCAGCACACCCAACCCCCACAAACAACCAAAAGTCGTCATACACATGCATACATACCAACACAAAATAAACAACCTCTCCGTTGTAATTCTATTTGGGGTGAAGTGAATGGACACAAACAAAAAGTCATAAATAAGACAACACCATAAGGATAATTACCAAAATTAAGAAACTATTTGGCAACCAAAACCTACTTTGACATCGATTAAAAAAGGCCAAAGGTGAGGGCGTAAAAAAGGAGACTCACATTTTGATTGCCTTGTTGTGAGTGACCAATTGCTCGTTAGAGGTCGCTAGGGGTGGTACAAGTTGAAAAATATAAACAAACCAAAGTACGTGAAGCAGCAGCAACGAGCAAAGCAAAGTGCCACGCATAAAAACAATTAGAATTATTTCTGCTAAACTGCAAGGTGTTTTGTTTCATGATATTCTACCAACCCAGGTCATTAGTTCAATTGATTAATATACACTAACAGCCATGAGAATACATTTTCGTGAACAATATGGCACCAAAGGTGAAGAGATAATCTATGTTACTCCGGCAGGTGAGTTAGAATAATGAAGAATATTTTTTTGGATTTCGAATATAAATTGGTGTTCTTATTTTCTAGACCAAAAAACCATCGTTCGTGTTCCGCTGAAAAGTGATAAGCTGGTTATACATGAGAAATTCTTCCTATTTCGTTTGTTTCAACAAATCTTTCTGCCTAAAGGTTATCCCGACAGTGTTAGTGATGACTATGCCTCATATCAAATTTGGGATACTGTCCAAGCTTTCTGCAGTACAATATGTGGTATGTAGTAGGACAAGGAAATTTGAAATGTGGAATAAGGTCAATATTTCTGACTTTCTTATTTGTTTTAGGTACGCTTTGCACACATGCCATCCTAAAAGGTTTGGGAGTGGGAAATGAAAACATCAACGCCTATTCAGCCACTGTGGCATGGATATTAAAAGAAGGCAGCGGGCATTTGGGTCGCATTTTATTCTCTTGGTGGAAGGGAGCTCAACTGGATATCGACAGCAAAAAATGGCGTTTACGTGCAGATTTTTTAAATGATCTGGCTATGGGTATTGAGATATATGTGCTTCCAAAATATCCCCATTTAAGTACACAAATATTGTGTGGCACCACTGTACTGAAATCTATCGTTGGTGTGGCTGGTACGTGTGACGGAGCTATAATCAACTCGCTTCTATATCTTAATGATAAAATATTACATTTAAGGTGGAGCAACTAGGGCGGCCCTGACACAACATCATGCTGTGCGTGGCAATTTGGCAGATGTCAACTCAAAGGACAGTTCCCAAGAGACATGTGTTAATTTAGTTGCTTCATTTGTGGGCCTATATTTATTAACTATTATAAAAACACCGGGGTAAGTAAAGCCAATTTCTCCTTTTATATTTTGAATAAAGAATATAAAGGCTTTTTTCTTCGTATTTGAGTCCTGTTACTTACTACATTTATTTAATGCATTCTTTTTAGGGTCTTGTATGGCGTGTTTGCAGTTGTAATTCTGCTACATCTTTATGCCAATTTAAAAGCCGTTAAAGCCATATGTCTGAGGACCTTCAATGAATCGAGATATTTAATAACTTTGGAGGAATTCTTTAGATCAGGGCGCATGCTAACACCACAACAAGTAAGTTAAGATAAATCCAAATTTGAGAAATTTTGTTTTAAAAATATGTTTTTTTTTTAATTAAAAGGTCAACAAACTGGAACGTGTTACTCTGGGTCAAACGGTATCGGTGTCTTTGAACATTCGTTTGGGCCTTTCGATTAAACACTTGGTTGATGAATATCAACATAGTCATATTGTTGATAATATTGTCTCCTCATTTGATCCTCATGAACATTTTATCATTGCCGAGAGTAAAAAATTCCTTGGTGTTTATTTGCACTTTAATACAACGGCTCAGGATGTTCTCAAGGCATATTTCTTTGCGGTTTCCTATCTACAAGATCGCAATCAAATCAAAGAGAAGTATTGGGATATACAAAATAAGTGGCAAGAGTTTCATAATATGGCCCAGCAAGAAGGTATATTTGAAAGATAACAGATTTTATTTTGCAGATTGGGAATTAATAAAAAAATATAAATATAATATTTTGTTCTCTTTCCAGGTTGGGTTACAACACAACATTTATTAATGGTGGATGAGTATCGTCTAAATTGGAAAGCTTAAATATTAGTTCTAATATCTTCAAGAACTGAAAGGTATGTTAACGCCACAGAAAAGGTAACAGTCTTATGTTCTGGTTAATGTTTTTGTTTCATATTATAATTTTATATATATATAGGAAAAGGTTGAGTTGTTATTGAAATTGGTCAATATGTTAATTTGATGGGCTTATCACTGGGTTTTTATAGAGTTCCTATATTTTGATTGTTCCAAATGTTGGGATGGCAAGACCAAATTGATAGGTATTTTGAAGGCTTTAACGGTATATCAACCTTGACATTTTTTAATTTCAATAAGCAGAACACATTCTCGAAAAAATCACTTCACGTTTTTTATTGGCGCGAAACAAGTCCTTTTTCTTTATCGACAGAGCTTGATCGTATTCTACTCAATACTGGTGGCCAACCGAAGGTCCACATTTTGAGCTGACTTCTTAGGCAAGTAAACACGATAATTTTGTTTGTTTACAAACTGCTGAACAACGAATTTTTTTCTCATTGGAGACCACTAAACCTAATTTGGCAGTTCACTACTTTCGGCCAAGCGAAGCCACTCTTTAGCTCTTTTGAGTCTATTTTCTTTCTGTTGCGGTGTAAGTTCTTGCACTTTTTGGAATTTCAATGGCTTTACCCCAAGCTCATTTTTCAATATTTGCCAAATGGAATATTGCGATATGTTCAGCTCACGAGCCATGCTTTACTTTTCGAACCAGTAACGATAGCGATGGTACGAGACACAAAAGATCTATTCACATTTAAAGGCTGGAGTGCTCTAAGGATAGCCACTTTTGGTTTCCCAGCCAAATATAAAAAAATCACACTATCACACTTGAATTACATCACGAATAACTTTTTTTCTTGAAAAGTCTCAGCAAAATGCATGAAATGTACGCTTGTAAACAATATAATGAGCTGTCACTGGAATAATTTTAACAGCTGTCGGGCGAGTGGCTTAGAAATGACAGCATTCTGAAGTTGGTTGCAGTATTTTCATCTTTCTAAATTTTACTTTCGTTTCCTTGAAATTTTTTGGATTTTATATTTTTTTTCTTAGCTCAAAAACAATCTAAATAAACATATCTATTCATCAACAGCTAATTAGAGTTTGGTAGATTCATACATTTTTTTTTGCCTTAGTAAATTTTTTTGTTACTTTGTTTTTTTTTTATTTCAATTTAGATTAGTTGTCTATTTATAAGCGACATTTCTGCCTTAAATTATTCTTATTCTAATTGTATATTACAACTAAGCGTGTCATTTTTAAAGCAATTTATCGAAATAATTTCGTATAGAATAATGTAATTACCATTTAGCCCAGAAATAATAATGAATTCTTGAATAATCTAAGCAATACCACAAATGTATATTTAGAATTAATAGTATATATATCTAGTTTGTAGATTTTGGAGGGTGATGCTATATTCTAGCTCTCCAAAAACATACATATGACTAATGAACAACAAACATGAATCTCATTGAAAAAAAATTTTGGAGTAGACTTTTGAATTAACCAAAACTATATATACACTTTTAAAGATTCCCTATTTTAATATATCCCGAATTTACACATACATACACGAATACTACTTACATACAAAAATTTTGAGAAAAAAAAAACATTTTTTGAAATAAAAAAAGAAAAAGTCATAAAATATTTAGTAATTAAACTTTAGTTCTAGTAACCCAATAAAACATTACAAAAACTTTATGGATAATAACACCAAACATATTCAAATTTTACCATATATACATACAAACAATAATGGCGGCAATTGCATTAATAATAAACGACAATAATTGTTTAAAAGTTGTATCTTCTAGAAACAAACCAAAACCGTATTTTTCTTAGCTATCCAAAATGTTTCCTTCTCCCTCTCTCTCTCATATCAAATTTAAAAAGTACCTGTCAATATTTTATCCTTTTCAATATGCCAATGCCGAACATCAATTATTGTTGGCAAATTGTCGCCACATGTGCTTGTAATCATCGGTAACTCAGTTTAGCGTTTCGCAGACAACATATAGAGAACAAGTATATTAAACAAATAACAAAATTCTATTCCATTCATTTTGAAAGCAACGAATCTAAATTAATTTTATCTTCGCCCATTAACCGTGTGTATATCAAAAGAGCTTATTAGATTAATTATATAAATATTTATGTCTGTACATTTATCAACATTGCAATAATTACAATTTTAACTATGGTTCAAAAAGACAAAAAAAAACAAGAATAACACCTAATGTGCTTCCAGAAGTTAGTCAAAAATCGATATTAAATTCTTGCTTTGTATTGGAATGTGTTAGTGTAGAATGAAAATAATTTCTTGTAGAATCTCCCATTGAGATGATATGGGGTTGAGAGCCTCTCATTTGAAAATACTTCTTTAATTTTATTTTTTCTTGTAAAACTCGGGGAGAACAAAAATATATCAATGCATTTTATTTAAAACATTTGATAAATATTTCATAAGCTTTGGCGGTTCCTGAGCATTAGGTGCCCTTGCAAGACGAAAAATGTCTCGCTTTATATGCTACATTTCGATTTAGTATAAAAAATAAAATTATGCATCTTGGAAGGCTCTCAAATCGGTGTCATCTCAAGCCAGTTGTGTTCGTCAAAACTAAAAATGTGTGTCCATTTGTTGTATTATTCTTATAATTCAGTTTGCACAACTTCTAATGTTATTGTAGCCAGTCTTTATTCAATTTATCAAAAAAATAAGCTTCATGGTGATATTCAGTCTGTTTTTAGCACTAAATAGTCAAAATATATTCTATATAATTTTAGCATTTTAATTTGAAGACAAAATAGTAAAACAATAAAACTTTTAAACGAACAAATTCAATGGTGTGGTCTTTTAAATGTGGAATATGAAAAGGTAATCTCATAATTAACATTAAAAAAATAAAATTCATGTATTTTCGTATAAATTCCCTTTAAAATCAACAAACAAAGTTTTTGAAAAAAGGAATTATTTTACTATGAATTAGGAATCGTGCCGTAAAAACGGGTTAAATCTTGTACCTAATTCTGAAAGCGAAAAACATGATTGAAAGTGCATTGAGAACATAGTATAATAGCTGATTTTATATTTGGTATTTTTGTGTTATCAGTTATCTGTGAATGTTTTCGGAGGGATTAAATCCATGGTAGAAAAATACAGGTAGACGCATCGACGCAGCTGCTGGGACAATGAACTGTCAAACCGACTTTGAAATTAAAAATGTTGAATGAAAAATTGTTGAAAAATGCATATCAAAACAAGCTCCGATTGGGGTTGTATTAGAAAACGTATAAAACTCTACTTATTTTTGACAAAACATTTTAACAATTTTGACATATCCATGTTCCCAAGCGTTGATGCATCTACCTATATTCTTTTACCATGGATTAAATCCATTGATTTTATTCTTAATGATGTGTAAATGGTTGTGGTAAAATGTTCGGTTTGTTTTAAAGCACTTCCAAGATCTGAAGAGCTGGGTACAATCATCGTACAATAAAAAGGTAAGGTAGAGCTACCAGCGGATTACAATTTTTTACTAAGTGTGCCCGAATTCTGCCAATTTTGTATATATATTTATTGTTTCGAAAAAATTAAAACAAAATATTTCCAAAACCAATGATTAGAAGACACGTACATCGCGGATCGCTCTTTAAAGCTATTAACCAGTTTAGTCATAAAATTGAAAGATTGAAGTGTTTGGATCATATTTTGGAGAGAAAAAATCCAGGCATTCATTTTTCGCGCTATTTAATTCATTCTAAAAATGAGAAAAAATATGAAAAAAAATGAAAACATCTTGTTGTATATAATTTTGAATGAGTCTGACAGGAAGCGGGCATAGCCTCAGAGCTGTATTTCTGCAGTTTTACGAAGATGTTATATCTCCTATTGTACCACGGATACAATATTTGTTTTCAACATATCTAACACCTGAAGTTGTTAACTCATATTTAACGTAATTGTGTTATCAGGTTATCCATGAATGTTTAAATGTATCTTGTCAATAATTTAGTTTGTATCACATTACTTCCCATCTCTGAACAGCTGTGTACTTTTTTCAACATACCTAACAGCTGATTTTATCAGCTCGTACTTGATGTTTTTGTGTTATCAGTTACCTGTGAATGTTTGTTCGGTGGTCGTCATTCAAAGAAATTTTGTTTTGTGAGAAAATGCCAATAGATTATAACACATTCAGATTTGTAAACAACAAGAAATTAGATAAATTCTAACACACAAAAAGAAAAGAAAAAAGCGACGGCAATAGTATTCAAATGAAATGACCTCAGATACAGCAGCAGCACCGAATACAAATGAAATGACAAAATGCTGTAACACCTCAGATTGCGGCTATATTGCGGAGTTGAAATCATTCATACGTGATGTCACAAAAGATGCTGTGGCGAATGGCGAAACAGGAGGAGGCGCTGGTACAGGTAACGCAGCGGCAAGTAATGTAGCTGGAAACGGTATTGGCGAGCTGCGTACACGAAACAACAATGAAACTTATCTGGTGAATGAAGCTGATGAGCTACAGGCGGAGGTTGCCATATATGTTTGGCAAAAGTTGTGTAGCTGTCCGGAACACTTTCGCATTGGCTTGAGTCAATTGGTAAAGAAAGAAATTCTATGTGAATTGAATAATACCAAAGTAAGAGAGGATCTGATGGAAACCGGCAAACAACAGAATTCTGCAGATACAGAAGCTAGAATAAAATATTTTGATTTGTTAAAGTTACAGAAATTCATAGGACAACATTTGGATAAAGTACTTATACGCTTATCCGATAACTCCAAGGAAGATGATTTAAAAACATATGCCGATTGCCAGGATTTCAAGAGGAAATCCACCAATTTACAGATTCCACAATGCGCTGCAATGCAAATAAAAAATAAACCCCGAAAAATGGAAGATAGACATGTGTGTTTGCCAAGGTTTGGTGAATTATACGAACTGGAAAATCCCTACAGCTTCTTTGGCGTGTTCGATGGTCATTCGGGTGCATTGGCGGCAACATATGCTGCCAACCAAATGCCGTTTTTAGTGGCAAAGCATTTGAAGGAAATGAAAACTGGTACAGTCTGCCAAACAGAAACCGATCTCTATCGGGATGTACTTGAGGCTAGTTTCTTAAAGGCAGATTCGAATTTTGCTCAAAAGTCTTTGGGAAGTGGTACCACAGCTGTTTGTGCCCTATTGAAATACAATAATAGTAACTTGTCGCCAAATCACTTGTATGTTGCTTGGGTAGGTGATTCCCGTTGTTTGCTTGTGTCACCCACAGTATCGCTGCAGTTAGTAAAGCCGCATAAGCCAGATTCAATGGATGAACGGAAACGCATAGAATCCATTGAGACCGGGGGTGCTGTAGTCTTTGTGCATGGCCAGTGGCGGGTAAATGGAATTATTAATGTTTCGCGCTCAATTGGCGATCATTCGGTTAAGGCGGTTATAGCAGAGCCAGATATTGTAGAAGTGCCACTACAGTCCTCGCATGATTTTTTGATACTGGGATCAGATGGTCTGTGGGACCATGTTGCCGAAACGGATATTGTTAAATGTACATACAAATCTTTGGCCGATAAACAACAGCAATTGGAAGATATTCCCAAGCAATTGATAGAATTGGCTAAAAAAGGTGACTCGCAAGATAATATCACTGTGATGTTGGTTTTATTAAAAGATCGCTCAAATATCGTAGAAAACTATTTAAAATCAGTGGAAAAGTCCACGTAAATGTATATTTTTTAACCAAAAGCGAAAAGAATAGAAACATAATGTATAGAAAATATCTATCACAATCACTTCCAATACCAATTAGGGAAAAATCCACACCTACACACAAAGCTAAGAAAACGCCACCCCAGTTTTGTTGTATATTAGTTTTTTGTGAAAAATAATTACTATTTTACCCATTGTTTTATCTTGTAGTTTTTTGTGTAATACAATTGAATATGGTTACCGCGGACAAGCTTCCCTTGTACACATATTCGTTTCGTTGTAACCGCATTCGAATGTAGATATAAATGCAATATTTATTAGTATTATAATGCTATATAATACATCAATAGCGCCTTAGTTCTTTAAAATGCCTGTTGTATAATTTGTACTCCAATATTTCCATAATTCAAAAAAAGGTTAACAAAAGAAAAAGCTTCAATAACAAATTATTGTGCCTACATAAATAAGTTTACAACAAAAAAGCAACAAATATCCAATATATACAACGACGACACCTATCCAATTTTTGTAACTAATAAAAAATAAATTAAAACTGTTCCACAATTCCTAACAATTTATACACACAACATACAAAATAATTTTTTAAATACAAAACTATATATACATATATCCATGTATTAAAGTTCAAATATTTTTAACAAAAAATACAGTTTTTTTGAAATCAATACAATATATGCCATGTGTTTTATTGTCGATGTAAATAAGTCACTTGTTTGTTTGTTCCCCCAAATGCTCGCGCTTGATAACTTTATTTCATATAACTCTTTATTACAAGGAAAAAAGTATAATGCCCTTTTAAAAGGAAATTAGATTCCAAACTAATTACTAAAGATCCATCTCCGACCATTAGTCCATTTTCCTACCGATTTTTTAATCAAACGTTGACAAAGTTTACTTTGTATATTCTTAAACATATTTTATAGAAAGCGATCAAGATTTTAAAGCTAAAGAATTACGAAATAATGTTCGTATATTATTGAGAGCCTGGTGGTGGAGGATGGTGTCCATCAAAATTACCCATGGTAGGTGGACGCATACTAAAGACACCAGGATGCATTTGTGGTGGAACCGGACCAGCGGGATTATTTAAAACGGGTCGCATGTGGGGCTGTGGAGGAGGTGCATGGTAACCCATTGGATACATTGGTGGTGGTGCATAATTTTGTACTGGTGGCATTTGTGGGTAGCCACCACCACCATAACCATAATTTGGTGGTGGTACCGGGTATTGTTGGGGATAGTAATTTGAATGCCAAGAACTGGGATTATGGTTGCTGGGCCGATTCATTTGTTGTTGATGGCGTTGTTGGTGATACGGAGATTGATGGCGGGGAGGACGATTATATGAGTTTTGATTATTTGATCCCTGTCCTGATTCTCCTCTACGGTTTTGGTTTCTTTGTTGCCTTGTATGCTTTGGTCTAGATGCAGAAGATGAATGTTCTTCCTCCTCATCCCCCGTTTCCATAGTACGGGCTTTCTTTTCCGGATCATCACAGTCGGTTGGTTTGTTACGATTACGCAATTGCCTCCTAGCCAATTGTTCCTGTTCGTCATCAGAGTAATCAAGAAATCTTGGCGGTGGTTCTATATCATTTTCCCACGAAGCGTCGGATCCTTTAACATTCATTAGGCTTGATAATATAATAAATTGTGTGTACTGTGTCTTAGGGGCCACATACACTGTATCGCCAACTTTTATATTTTTCTCATTAATATCCTTGTTGGTATTGAAACGTACACAATACAACGGATCTGCCACCTGGCCCAATACATCAAATACTTCTCCCAAAACACGTTGTCCCTTGTCCAAAAACAACACAGTGTCCAAATCCAATAAAACAGAATTTGGCAAGGCACTTACTAATACCAACTGATCGACAACTGAATGAATTTTTCCCAATTCTATGCACTCGTCTTCTGGCACGGTGATCTGTAATTCGTGTATGGGCGGTAGATCTTCCAGTAATAGTTCTCCCTTGGCTCTTATTTTCTGTTTCGGTTTTCGCCTGTTTTCCCCTTTGGAGTTTTCGTCATCCTCATCTTCTTCGTCCTCATCGTCTACTTCCATGCGTTTTTCAATTTTCTTACGCAAGTTTTCAAAACATTCAACATCCGAATCACTGCTACTGGAATCTGAATCGGTATCAGAATCAATTTCAACAACTTTATTACGATAGTCTTGATTCGCAGGCAATGGTACCTCCACAACGGAGTCTGTGTCGGAATCTTCATTACCAGAGGCATATTGGGCTAACAGACTCAAACCAGTGGTAGATGTTGTAGCGGATGGTTCTTTCTCGATGGCTGATGGTTCTTTCTCGGCTTGGGTTTCTTCAGAAGTTTCAGTAACACTAACTTCGGAGACAATTTTGGAACTCGATTCATCAGAAGGAACATTGTGATTAGCTGAATTGGTAATATCTTCTTCCATATTTTCAGTTAGTCCTTCTACAGTATTTTCATCCACATTATTCTTTGTAGTCTCATCAACCGCCTTATTTACATCTTCATTATTTGCATGTGTTTGGGTGTCAACATTGTCAGAAGCACATGGTTCAACAGGCTCTTTGATTGGTTGAGCATCTGATCCAAGTTTAGTTCCATTATCAGTTTCAGGCACTACTTCTGTTCCAGTAGACAGTACTTCTACGCTAAGTATTGTTACTGGATCACAAGGTTTCTTTACATCCTCTTCCGTATCGTGGTTGTCATGTTTTTCTTCTCCACCTACTGAGATAACATATTTTATATTTTTCTTGAGTTTTTTTTTTATTTAAACTTAAAATTACCTGCCTGATTTCCAGAATCTACTTCTTTGGATTTATCTTGGGTTTCCGAATTTTCCATCATTTACCAATTAAGCATCCAATCGTGTAGTTCCTGTAGTTTATAACGTATTTCCAAACAAACAAAAAACAACGTGCTTAAACAGACAACAAAGCGGAGCGAATTTTTCGACGGCGGTAGCACATCTTGAAGAAAAAGCCAAGACGCCGCAACAGATGTTTGTTCTACTGAACTAGGGATCTTTAAGTCGATTTATTCTAATCGGCCGATTGGACTATGGTTATCGGTATATTTTTTTATAAATGGTCCATTGACACGTTGACGAGAGATTAAGGTTCCAACAGAATGATCGCGTTGAACTATTCAGTCCGTTAAATATTATATATAAGAAAGGACAGGAAGACGCTGTGCATCGATATGCTAGTCTACACCCTGTTCTTGTTTAATGATAATATTAGACGTAAAATAGCTCAACAGTCTCATTCCGTTTGGTCCGTTAATATATTGTTACGAATATAACTTTAGATTTAAGTTAATTTAGATGAATTCCGTTAATTTAAGAATTTGAATTGTAACGTAAATTTCTACTACGCAGTTTATTTGAATAACTCCACAACAACAACTACTGTATAGATTTTTCTACATCCTTCCATTTCCTCTTTCATTTTCTATTTTGTTGCTGACGTACAATTCTTGTTAAACGTCATCATTGATGATCGCTTAATTCCTCTTTCTTTGTTACCCCCTCGCCTGTGTATGTGTTGTTGTTATTGTTCACTCAATGTAAGTTTGTATGTGTTCGTTGCATTGGTAGATTGTTCGTAATCTAGGCGTTACCAGATCGTCTAGAAACTTCTGTAGCGACAGGCGAGGCTCATATAAATAGGGGAAATGGAAAGGCAGTTAGTCAGTTATGAATCAGATCGCGAATTGAAACCGTCGAGTAAAGTAAAGTGCCAAGTAAAGTTGTGTGAATAAAATCATTGTAATAATCGTAATCCGAAAGAACCCGCGTTTTATTTGGTACGAGCTGTATTGGGAAATAAAACAACGTCTACACGGGATTAAGTAAAATCCAAGAACGTAACAATTGGTGTCGGAAGTGAGATTACGATAATACTACGATGAAGTTTAAGGATCTACGAGTGGAAGACTTGAAGAAGGAACTTAATAAATTGGAATTGTCCTCTACTGGCAACAAGGCTGAACTACAAAAACGTCTGTTGGATGAGTTCGAGCGCCGTGGTATGAACATCGATACATATGAGTTTGACAGTAAGGATGAAGTGGATTTATCGGAAATGGGCGAATCCAACGGTGGGGAAGTCTCGTCAGTAGCTGCCAGGGGTGACGATTTCAGAGAAATGCTAGCCAAAATGTTTGAGGAAAATTTCAGAAGGTTCGAAGAAAATTCAAGAATAACGAACGAGAAACTCGAGTACAGAAGTTATTGGAAGGAGAATGGAAACCGTGGAGGTCCAAATTAAAGAGTTGGATAAGAAAGTGCAGTCGGTTGACGAGAAATTTCTGTCCCACGACCATAGGGTTATAAATCTGGAGAAGAAAATTTCGGAACTGGAAATCAAAGGTGGTCCGGTGCGAGTTCTTGATAACACACTAAAAATCAAACCTCCTGTATTCGACGGCTCTACGTCATTCAATGTTCTCAAGTTACAGTTCGAGACAGTGGCTTCTAGAAATTCGTGGAACGACAGCGACAAAGCGGTTGCACTACTTCTGGCATTGAAGGGCAGTGCTGCTGATGTTATACAGAGTATTCCTGTCGCTTCTAGAAACAACTATGAAGATATTATTGCTGCACTGGAACGTAAGTACAGTGGCGAACATAAACGAAACATCTACCTTTTGGAATTAAGGGGAAGAGTACAGAGGGCAAACGAGACGTTACAAGACTTTGCAGCTGAGGTGGAACGTTTGGTGCTAATGACGTATCCAGGAGAGGATCACCCATTGCTGGACCGTATGAAAATCGAAACCTTTGTGAATGGCATACGTGACCCTGAGATTAAGTATGCAACATATGCGTCACCAAAAGCATCATTTTCCGAAACTGTGTCGTTTGCCCTTGCCCAAGAGACGGCAAGAATAGTTGTTAAGCCCCAGACCCACAAGATTCGCCAACTGGAGACCGAAGGTTGCGAACCCAAATCTCTCGTTAACTCGATCGAAGATGCCATGAGGCGGGTAATAGAAGAGACAAAGTTAGTTGGGATGACTAAGCCCAGGGTTAGATGCTACAACTGCGATAAAGCAGGTCATATTGCGCGCGAATGCAGAGCTAAGCGCAAACGATCCAGGTCATCGTCACCACCTCCAACGAAAGATGGTAGAAGAATGGCCCAACAGTCCACCAATGAAACTAAACTAAATCGAGCCAGTCCAGCGGGGCATGAACTGGCTCCCATCGACGATGGCCCCACAATCTCCATAGCAATAGTACAACAGGAAAGTCACAACCTAACAACAACTGGGTACATCAATGGTGATAAGCGAGTTCTGACGTTAGATACTGGCGCATCAAAGTCCATCGTAAGATCAGATCTGGTAAAGGGAAAAATAACGCAACTTAATGGAGTCAGACTGCGCACAGCAACGGGGGAGCCCGCGGCAGTACACGGCAAGATTACCCTGAGACTAACTATTGCCAATAAATCGGAGAATTACGAGTTTATAGTTGCCGATATCGTAGACGAAGTGATAATAGGCGCAGATTTTATGATTGCCTTTGGTATCAATCTGGATATGAAAGAACGTGTGATGACCTGGTCTAACGTCGAAATTCCGTTAAACGTGGGCTACGATGAAAGTACACCCATTAGACGTCTGACCACGAACCATCCAGAGATAATACCGCCCTGTGCCGAAGCAATAATATGGGTACCAATGAATGGAGATTGTGGAGCCGAGAAGTTGTGGGTGGTGGAACCAGCAGAAAACAGAAACAGTAACATCCTAATAGCGAATGCCCTGGTGAAAAGCAACAAGGACGGATTAATTCCTGTTAGAGTTTTGAACCTGTCAAACAAGCAAGAGCAAATTTGCCAATTTTCCGATGTTGGACAATGCACACCAGCTGAAGCTGTAGTTAATTTGGAAACTAGCACCGAAAAGCCAGCTGCCATGGAGAAGAAGCACCTCGACGGCTACATAAAAGAGTGGACACACCAATTATCACCTTCCGAGAGGAACAAGGCTAAGCAGCTATTAAGGAAATATGCCTCTACCTTTGCGTTGACAAAAGAGCACCAAGGAAGAACATCAGTGGTGAAGCATGAAATCAATACAGCAGACGCGAGACCCATTAAACAGCCTCCAAGAAGTGTTCCCCTGGCAAAAAGAGACGAGGTTCAGAAGCTGATAAGTGAAATGGAAAAGAGTGGTGTAATAGAACCATCGTCAAGTCCATGGTGCTCCCCAGTGGTCTTGGTCAAGAAGAAAGACGGAAGCACCCGATTTTGTGTGGACTACAGAAAGTTGAATGATGTCACCAAGAAAGACAGCTATCCGCTCCCAAGAATCGACGACACATTGGACACATTAGCCGTGACGTCATGGTTCTCCACCCTCGACCTGCAGAGTGGGTACTGGCAAGTAGAGATCGCCGAGAAAGATAAGGAGAAAACAGCGTTTGGCGTAAATGGGGGTCTCTGGCAGTTCAATGTCATGCCATTCGGACTCTGCAACGCCCCGGCTACATTTGAAAGGCTGATGGAGCGTGTGTTAAAAGGGCTGCAGTGGAAGTCGTGCCTCATATACCTGGATGACATCATAGTCATGGGACGCAACTTCGACGAACACATCAAGAACTTAAAGGATGTTCTACAGCAGCTTTCGTCTTCAGGCCTCAAGCTGAACCCAAAGAAGTGCAGTCTCTTCCAACGAGAGGTGAAGTTCCTGGGGCACCACGTGACGCCGGAGGGCATATCGACGGATAAGGAGAAAATTCAAGCCGTCAGAGATTGGCCGCAGCCCCGAAATCTCCACGAGCTGCGAAGCTTTCTGGGTCTCTGCACATACTACCGTCGATTTGTCCAAAATTTTGCCAACATCGCCGCCTGTCTACACCGTTTGACGCAAAAAGGCCAGAGGTTTCAGTGGGGCAACGACCAGGAGGAGGCATTCAGAAAGCTCAAAGACATGCTATGCAGAGCCCCCATTTTGGCATACCCTATACCTGGCGGCAAGTTTGTCCTGGACACAGACGCAAGTGCGTGCGGCATCGGTGGCGTCCTTTCCCAGGAAATCGACGGACAGGAAAAAGTCATCGGGTACTACAGCCGGACATTGTCGAAACCTGAGAGGAATTACTGTGTGACGAGGAGAGAGCTGCTTGCTGTCCTTGAGTGCGTTAAACACTTCCACAAATACCTATATGGCCAGCATTTCCTGCTGAGGACCGACCACGCTGCTCTCCAATGTTTGCTGCAGTTTAAGAATCCGGAAGGTCAACTAGCCCGTTGGATCGAGAGGCTCCAGAGTTATGACTTCAGAATCGAGCACAGAAAAGGCGGAAAACACGGTAATGCTGATGCCCTGTCTCGTCGGCCATGCAAAGTAGAATGCAAGCACTGCTCAAAGGCTGAGAATAAAGAGAATATCGTTGATGTCCGACTATTGCAATTTGAGTCGGGTGAAGATTGGTCGACGGAACAACGAAGAGATCCCATTCTGGGCAAAGTAATTTCGGCCATAGAAACGGGCAAACGACCTAGTAGCAAAGAAATTACCTCCGAAAGCCCTCTTTTAAAATCCTATTGGGCCCAGTGGGACAGTCTACTTATAATAGATGGTTGCCTATATCGCAAATGGGAAAGTGAGGACGGTAAATCTCACCGGAACTTGATCGTCGTCCCAGACTCCAAAATAAGAGATGTCTTGTCGGAGTTTCATGATGGGCCAAGTGGAGGACATCTTGGCATAGCAAAAACCGCTGAAAAGGTAAAGCAGAGATTCTACTGGGTCGGCTGTCAAAAATCCATTGCCGACTGGATCGCCAATTGTGAAAGGTGCATAAGAGCTAAAGGTCCAACACGGAAGAGTCGAGGCTACATGCAGCAGTATAATTCAGGAGCCCCTTTTGAAAGAATCGCAATGGATGTAGCTGGACCGTTCCCAACAAGCGACTCTGGGAACCGGTATGTCTTAGTGGTCATGGATTACTTCAGTAAATGGCCAGAGGTTTATGCTATCCCAAATCAAGAAGCCAGGACAATTGTGGATGTGTTCAGCAGAAATTGGATTTGTCGCTATGGTGTTCCATCTGAGGTTCATTCCGATCAAGGGAGGAATTTTGAATCAGCGATCTTCAAGGAAATGTGTGACTCCTACGGAATCAAGAAAACCAGAACGACGCCCCTACATCCACAATCAGATGGCATGGTGGAAAGATTCAATCGCACCTTGGAAGAACATCTACGGAAAGTGGTGGACAGTGGCCAACGAGACTGGGATGAGCATATTCCCAAGTTTTTACTGGCTTATAGATCGGCCATTCATGATTCCACATCCCGGACCCCAGCCAAAGTTCTGTTCGGAAATGAATTAAAGCTACCTGGCGATTTGATATTCGGTGCTACCCCAAACGACGATGTGAACCAAGATGAAGACAGTCAAAACTCTTTTAGTAAAGTCCACGATGCAGTCCGACATCGAATAAAAATGGTTAGCAACCGCATGAAGGCAAGGTACGATCGAGCGGCAAATACCGATGGGTTTCAAGAAGGGCAACTGGTACTATTGTTCAACCCACAACGAAAGAAAGGACTATGCCCCAAATTACAAACGCACTGGGAAGGACCCTACAAGATTGTCACGAAAATAAATGACGTCGTTTATCGCATCCAGAGGAGCGACAGTCCCAGGTTGAAGATGAAAGTTGTACATTTGGAGCGGCTGACCCCCTACGGAACGGGAACTGTGCCTATTCGGGACGAACAGGCTTAAGCGGGGGGCAATGTTACGAATATAACTTTAGATTTAAGTTAATTTAGATGAATTCCGTTAATTTAAGAATTTGAATTGTAACGTAAATTTCTACTACGCAGTTTATTTGAATAACTCCACAACAACAACTACTGTATAGATTTTTCTACATCCTTCCATTTCCTCTTTCATTTTCTATTTTGTTGCTGACGTACAATTCTTGTTAAACGTCATCATTGATGATCGCTTAATTCCTCTTTCTTTGTTACCCCCTCGCCTGTGTATGTGTTGTTGTTATTGTTCACTCAATGTAAGTTTGTATGTGTTCGTTGCATTGGTAGATTGTTCGTAATCTAGGCGTTACCAGATCGTCTAGAAACTTCTGTAGCGACAGGCGAGGCTCATATAAATAGGGGAAATGGAAAGGCAGTTAGTCAGTTATGAATCAGATCGCGAATTGAAACCGTCGAGTAAAGTAAAGTGCCAAGTAAAGTTGTGTGAATAAAATCATTGTAATAATCGTAATCCGAAAGAACCCGCGTTTTATTTGGTACGAGCTGTATTGGGAAATAAAACAACGTCTACACGGGATTAAGTAAAATCCAAGAACGTAACAATATGGATTAAATGTAATGCCGCGTTTTCATCATCTCAAAATCTACACAGTATTACGCACCCAGTATTCGCCAATAAGCATTGCTCCTTGATATTACATATTCGTGGGATATGTATTCAAATCCCTCTGTTTATCCAATTATTTGTTTTTATGATTTTATTTTCTGAGAATTTTACAAAAACGATATTTTTTGTATAAAACTTATATTATATCCAGAGGCAGCGGTTCTGTATTTACTAAAACTCAAATCATCTATATGATACATTTACAATCAACCACTCACTGGAAGACTATTATTGGCAGCATTCGCGGCGTTTGCCTTTTGTTCTTCTTTATAACCAGTTTGTGATAAATGCTTAACAATATCAACCCAATTCCAACCGCGAGGACGTTCACCTTTGTTGTCAGTTCTTTCCCATTGTCGGCGTTTCTGTGCTTTGGTTAGTTGCTCCTTTTTTACTTCCTTCTTTTGAGTGTCTGTATTGTCCGATATTTGAATTGCACTAACACCAACCTTTTCCAGGTCGATTGATTGGGTGGCCACATGTTCGGGTTGTTCACTTGTTAATTCATCTAAACGTTCTTTGAGGCACTCGAATAAAGTATATGTCATACCACAGCCTAGCCACTGTTCGCCCTCTTCCTTGAGGACACCTTGGATTTTTTGTTTGACAGCAGGAATTCTGTAAGGAATATTAGGTATTAGTATATTATTTGATCTAAATAGTTAGCATTGACATTGCACTTACAAATTTCTATTGTAAAATGTATCCATATTTATGGCTGGGAGTTCATTTGGATAGTTTTCGCCCCATTTAATTTCCACCAGAAACGATTTGAAGTTGTCTTCCTCACCATACTTGTACTGAAATGTTGTCGGATCGATTTCTTTAAACGCCTCATCACCTTCATAGATAGACTGCAAGGCTTCCCGCTCATCGGTTTGTAGCTCTAATGTTTCTGACATTTCTTCAATTCCATGCAATAAATTTAATTAATTATGCGGGATTTGTTTGGTTACATCAAAAAGGCAAAAACGCGATGAAAGAATTCACCCAGATTACAAAGCTCCATTTGAACACCGCCGCCGTGAAAAGAGAAACAAAGCGGGAATAGAGAATAAGAATGGAAATCAAAACAAAACAACGATTAAATGCAGAGATCTAAAGACCGAAATGATAGGTTAAGGGTTGTAGAAGCGCAATTTTCGTTATGAAACAGATGGGATGTTCACTGAATGAATGAGGGAACCGTTTGGAGTCGTTCTGGAATGAACGGAATAGAACTTTAAAACTTCAATTGAAGCAAATTGCTCTGTAATAGACAAAATTTTCGTCATTATTCATTTGCAATTTGAATAATTGTCTCAGAAAAGTTCTAAACAGTGGCTAGAGTATCAAGCCAGTATCTATTTGATAAGTGATTTAAACCTGTATGCCAAAACGAAAAGGTAAAGGCAAGAATACATAAGATGATTTTTTAACCAATATTGTCCATTGTAAAGTTGGGTTAACCAACTGGATGTGGATTAAAATTGTCATGACCATTACTTATACTTTAAAAAAAAAAACATATTAAAGTAGGCCAATACTGCAAAAAGTTCTAACATATAAATGGCATAAATGTATTTATTTTTCAAAACAAAAATATTTTTCTGCGAACAACCTATTTTAGGCTTTTTACATCCGAAAAATCACCAGCCACAAATTTATTGATTGAATGATGGTTTTGTGTTCACACCATCATTCAAGGAATCCACCAAATCTGACATGTAACCAACATGTTATTTAGATTGCCAATTCCTTTGATTAGAAGTTATATATAACGCTTAACTTGGGTTCGGTGTAAAAGAAATCCTGCAGGAAATGTCCACCAAATTCTTTTTGAGACAGTAACCCCTGATTTAGTTCCCTTTTGAATTTGCCTATTGGATTTATATAAGGCAATTTTTCATTAATTTTCGTTTTTCATTATTGTTTTTTCTGTCATTGTTAAACATATTTTGGCATACGAGCAATTTTTTTTTCAATTTCCATTACCCTTACCTCTCTCTCCTACAACTAGAGACTTATCGCAAATAAACTTGCCTAATGTAAATTCGGTCTAATGATGTTTTATTCTCTCTTGCAAGTAGAGCTTAAAAAGTAAACAGACGCACCCCTGTAAACTGCCAGTTATCAGCTGATTTATCACCACAAAACAATTTATCCGCTATAAAAATAAGAAAAAATCAACCGAAAAAGGAATAATTTAGTAATCCCTAATACTAATTTCCATATAAAAATGTTTCGTATGAATGTATGATTATCGCAAAATGGAGAAGAAGAAGAAGAGCTAAACATTTTTAATCAGAGTTGTATTTTGATTCACTTTGTCCCATTTTAACTTTAAGATACGTGCCAGTATGTCCAACATTTAAATATTTTAAAAAGAATTTCTGCCGTTTAAGCTAAAGAACTCAAAATAAAATAATCAAATGTTAGAGATTCGTCTTAATACAAGCCTAAAAACATATATGTATATAAGTTTGTATGTATGAATATATTATCGTAAGCAAATAGAATAAGTCTCGCTTTAATGAAATGAAACAAATTAAATTTAACCGATCAGTTATTTGGAAACATTCGGCAAGCGACGTTGGTGTAAAATAAAAATTCGCTGTATTTTGATTTGAAAAGATTGATGTTTTGTTTGTTTCTCCATATTTAAATGTATCGGTTCAATTGAAATTCCATTATGGGCAATACGTTTACAACCTATGATATTAACAGTAAAGCTGTGAAATCGAATATTTGTTATTGTTGGAAAACTTGTTTTCCTTGTTGTCTATATGAGCATGACGTCTACGAAACTCCAATAAGTGTTAAGAACGAAAAGTTAGTTGAACGTTTTAGTAGTGATACACTGGGTATGTATAAACAAATTGAAAACAAAACAACTTAAAGACCACTCATTTGTAATTCTGTCACCCACATAACATGTATTGGTCTTTTCCCATTATGAAATCGAAAAAATTGCAAAAATAGTAGATTCTTGCAGGTTCTGGAGTATATTTGTTGGTTGGTTTGATTTATGGTGTCAGTTTTTCATAATGTTTATTATAAACTGTCATCAATACTGAAAATAAATTGAAGCTGTTTGAATATTTTTAGAATTTAAAATTCAATTTATACCTCGCCTGTTATCACGAATTTCACATGAGCATATATGGCCCTCGGGTCAAATTTTTCTGTTACAGTTAAAGTGGTCGTCAACCCTGTGTATTTATTTTTTACTTGTTTTCTAATCTGCGTATATACCAGTGTCTTTCATCAGACATGTTTAAAAATATTTATTTAAATAAACAAATATTGAAAATTACTAATGAAAAAATTCGTATTCAAAAACACCTGTTTAAATATTTGGCTAAAAATACTCAAGGTTATGAATTTGGTTTTGGGGGGATGTTTATACTTGGTTAAACCCATGCTGGAAGAATACAGGTAGATGCATCAACTTTTGGGAATATTTATATGTCAACATTTTCAAAATGCTTTTTCAAAAATAAGTAAATTTTTCTTATACGACACCAATCAGATGTTTTCAACAATTTTTACAAATTTGAAAAATTCTTCATTCAGAATTTTCAATTTCAAAATTGGTTTGACAGTTCATTGTCCCAGCGCTGTGTCGTTACGACCAAATGTATTCTTCTACTACTGTTAACCCATTAGATATATTAAATCCGGTGGTTTAATCTTCAATTGTATAAACGTGCTATAAGCCAGTTCGAAGCTAAGATGACACAGTAATAATTAATGTCAAACTATAAAGGGATACGACGGCAGAATTCGAATGCGGCTATGGCATCCCTTTATGATATGACTTCCAGCTGTTTATGTACTTACACCCATGACTCAATAAGAAAGGTTGCTCAACATCAAAGAAACTAGAAAAATGCAACTCTGTAATGGAGTCTTATAGTGTAAAATAGACTTAAATATGCAACAGTTGGTTTTGTGTATTTTTCATTTTTTAACAAAATTCTTATATTGGGAAAACTCTCGAAACAAGAATGGAATTTTGGGGCAGTAGGATAATACAGTTTTATCCCAATATAGTTCAATGTGTTGCCCATTAACATCGAAAATATGGATTAATTTTGCTATCGAATTCGAAATAATTTCAAATTATTGTATTTTTTATTCAAAACCAAGGCCTATATAAGGTCGGCCAGTAAGACCATCTGACGACCAAGTTTTCTGTCAAAATATATTTTGAATTCGCCCTATGAATACAAAAACCAAATTGTGATGTTCTTGTCAAAAAATTTAAATTATTAAAGGAATTTGCAGACAAATATATATAAATTATAAATAAAAAGGAATTTGAAAATGCGAATTTGCCAAATATACAGAAAGAAGGAGGAGTAATTTTTTTCGGTTCTAAAGAATGAAGTGTCGAGGGCAGAATGGAGTAACGTTTGACAGGTATAATTTCAAGCAACGTCTTCAGTTTGCTCTGAACTCTTCGACGTTGCTCATGTGAAATCTGGAAGAGAATATTATCGCGAAATTATTCTGAAGAGTGTATTAAAGCCTTGGGCATGCAAACATTTTTGGCGCAGACCTTAGACATTCCAACATGACTCAACACCATCGCACTCAGCTCGCGCCACCCAAGTGACGGTTTTATTGGCCGTATGAAGGCCATAATTCGTGCCAAAGGTGACAAATTCGAACAAATCTAAACATATTCTGAAATTTGATGCTATTTCCGACATTTTTGCATTCATTCAACAAAATTTAAAAAAAAATTAGAAATTATGGCGTTTGACTTTGTTGCTGTTTTTTATCTCATCCTCATTCAAATCTTTGAATTTCAAAATTGGTTTGACAGTTCATTGTCCCGGGAGCTGTGTCGATGCGACTACCTGTATTTTTGTACCATGCAAGAAGGTAAAGTCCTGCAATCATATGTTTACATTTTTTTATTTATTTATTTGACAATATTTTGTTGTCAAAATGTATATTTACAACTCCATTGTACATATACATATCAGAGATGGGAGCCTGTTTTTATGCAGTGACATTTGACAAGGTAAATTATAGAAAATACAGAGATGGGAATGCTTATTTTAAATCACTTTACCTTCCTAATTTTACCATGAATATACGGTTATTTTGTTTAATTCACATGAAATGTCTCATATAAACACTGATTTAAAAATAGACAACAAGCACACTTTTATTTTTAACAATTCAAGTTAACTACGTAACGTAATTTAATCTGGAATATTTGAGCATGACGCCATCACTTGAACTCGCCCGCTCCGAAGTGGAATGGACACACACCCAAACATAAGTTTGTTCATAGGAAGTGTTAATGGGCGAGATATTCATGTGCATTCATTCACTGACATCGGCATCGTTCGTCATCGATCTATCGATCCATTAATAAGAGAGTCTGTGTTTTGAATTTAAAATATTACTTGCACATTTCTCGAGAACGAGCCAAATATGCATTTTAATTAATAGTTTTCCATGTTATTTTGTTTCATTATTCTGTTGATTGTAGGTGGCTCCAACAGCCTTTTAACTCCCACAGCGGCCAAGATTCTGCAAGAACAGTTGATGTGATTCGATCAATATCTCTCTCTTAAAACTCATTCAAATTAGCATTGGTTTGTTTGTTTTCAAATTAGACAATTATCCAAGAGAACATTCTAATATGGAATGATTGGGGATGTGTGTATCTCCCTTTTGGCGCTGAATATTGACAGTCTTTGCAATTGTTTGTAGTGAGCGGTTGTCAGTGATGTCAATATCAGACAAAGACAGAATACGTAAGAGATTTTTTCTGGCAAGTCATCGTCGTGTTTTTAAAAAAAAAAAAATATTTTTTAAAACCAGATAAATTCATCACTGTTTGACATGTGATTAAATAATTACAAGCTATGACATACTGCTGAAATGTAAAAAATACATCTGTGAAACTCTTGTCTTGTTAATTCAAATGTATTAATAACAAATGCACCAACTTGTTTTGTTAGACACTTTATTTTACTATTTTTATACCCTCAGCCACATGGCTGTCTTATCGAAATAACGGTTTTAGACACTAGGTCTCTTTAGACCAAATCCGTTTCAGGACATTTGGTGTCGATCTAGCCTGGCTGGTGCGCACGATAACTCTTGAAGGGAGTATCCGATTTGATCCATACTTGGTATATCGCAATATTATTGTCAAACTTAGATCGAGTTCGGAGATGGGCAATGTCGGTCCACTCCTTCCGGTACGTCCCCCACAAAAATAATTTACTGCACAAAATCCGAAATAAGCATCCGATACTCTTCTTATTTCATACATCCCATTATTTCTAGTAACACAAGATCTGCTGTCTAGATGGCATATATCGGTCCACTCCTTCTGATACCTCTCCCATAAAAGGGTCAACATTTTTGAATATCCATTAAGCTCATACAACGCGAAATTAATATCCGATTCCATTCAGACTTGGTATATCTCAATATTTCCATCAATACAAGATCTGTTATAAAGATGGTAGAGATCGGACCATTTCTTTTGGTACCTGTCCCATATATTGTTCAAGATTTTGAAAAGCAAAAAGCGAAATAAGCATCCAACTCTCTTCAAATTTAATGCGAGGTCTGTAGTGAATATGATATATAGCTGCGAACTCTTTAGGTACCTCGCTCACAAAGGGTCAAAATTTTCAATGCTTATATCTCTCACAACTTGATATATCTAAATATTTCTCTCAACCAGAAACCTGAGATGAATATGGAATTTATAATTTCGCATTAAGTTGGATATAAATGTTCGATTTTCTTGTAATTTTGCCCATACCAATATTTTTATCTGCATTAGTTGAAGTATGGAAATGGAATACTTCCGTCGACTATATTTGGTACCTAACGCACATTTTAATATTTTCTAAAAATTATCACATATCCCATATAAAGTGAAGGAAGTAGCCGATGTAGTCCAAACCTGGAATGACGCAATATTTTTATCATATTTATTTAGGTCCTATACGAAATGGATAATATTGTCCCATTCCATCGGAACCTACTCCATAGAGGGTCAACCATTTGAATAATCATAACAGAAGTCAAAATATATTTAAATAATCGAACATTGGCTGGGGATATGCATCTGTCGGCAAAACCGACTGATACTTTTAACTTGTTTTAAATATGTGTGAAGGATTACGACTTTTCTCAAAATAGGTGTGAAGGATTACGACTCTTTTTCGATTTTATAAATCGAGTGGATTGAATATTTTGCCTTTAGACATTTTAAGCTATCAAACTACTACCTTGCATTCAATTTCGCCAAATGTTAAAACTATTATGACGTTTTTTAGGGACCTTCTACGTTGACAACACTGTTGATGGCGCACATCAAACTTATTCATTCTCCCTCTCAGTAGTGTAGCACTAGTGTTCAGATGATGTTTTGTTAGCCTCAAGTTTATGGAAGGTACACCCTCAATCACAGATCTTTAGATTTGTATATTCTGGCAAGAATTTCAGTTAGCCAATAGAATTGTTACGGAACACAACACGGTACGCGGAAGTTCAGTGAGTTCTAGTGGCATATGTCGTTTTTTTAAATTCCACAAAAACTAACGTATAAATGCTTTTGATTTCGGGAGTGATCGATCGAAACAGTGAAGTGTTTGAATAAAAACCCATTAAATAATTAAAATCCCATTAGAGTATAAAAAAATATGACATCGTGGTATACGGGATATGTACCAAATTGGTTTAATCGTTTCTGGCAGCCTAATCCTCCCATAAATCCGTATCGCAGTATAAGGCCACCACGTAAGGAATAATTTATTGAATTTTTTTTACAACAAAAAATTGTTCGTGTCAAATATATGAATGACACCTTCTAAGTCAAGGACGTTTGTTTAGAATAAAACAAAAATAAAAAAAGATCAACAAATCATTTCTCATGTCTAGCTCGTTCGTTTTGTTGATATCTCCCGATGAGAGGTGCGGCATGTTTTGCCGCCGTCTGTGACTTCATCCGATTATTGTTATTATTATTTAATATTTGTGTAGCTAGCTCTGCCTCTGTTGTTGTCAAGTTTTTTTTGTGTATTATCTTCGTTGTTTGTTGTCAAACATGTTTTAACTATGTTGATTGTTTACCTTTGAATTTATATGGACTTGGTATCAGGTAAATTCTCAAAAGCATTTGCCGTTTTTTTAATATTATCACAGTTTTTAATTAGGCAATAAATCTCTAATTTTTCGGGCATTCCTAATCTGTTAGATCATATTTTTTTCAGTTATATTGACTCAAAGGGTCAGCATGATGCTACAATGATTAATAAGACAATTACAGTGGCTCGGAGGTAGATATAAGCTTTCAGGAGTGTAGGAAAAAATTTGAAGAAGACTAGAATAGGAAATATTCAGACAACAAATGCTTAACTTTTAATCAACAATTTTTGAATCTTCCTTGTAACATTTGTAAATTACCGGAAATTTACTAGTTTTGGGTTCGATACTTTTTTTTAGAACTAAAAAAATATTCACTAAGTATTTTTTGAACAAGAAATTATAATATTTGTACTTGGCGTGAAAATAGAGAAGATAACAAAAAACTAAAGGCGGGAATACATAAAACGTTAATTTGGCTGGCTTAAGTCATTGGCTAGCTTCTGCGCAAATGAATAACGGAGCCAAGGGCCAAAATCGAACTAAATCAACCTAAAAGTCCTTTGTTCTTCTACGAAGAAGCCAGCCAATGACTTTGGGTGAAAGTACATAAAAGGTTAGAAGTCATGGCTTGGCATATTTTGTGACATTTCATAAAGGGATTACAGAGCCGCACTAAAATCCTGCCGTTGTTTTCCATTATAAATTGACATTAATATGCCTAGCTATGACCTCAAACTTTTTATGTACCTGCACCCTAAAGCCATTCAAATAACCGCTTTATGTATTCTCACCATAACTTTTAATAAATTGTTGCAGGGTAACCGTAAGCAGCTAACCATAAAACAGCTGATCGAAACAATAAAGGTGAGAATACATAAAACTCTTTTCTGACTGGCTTAAGTCATCGGCTAGCTTCTTCGTAGAGAAACATAGGAGTTTTAGGTTGACTTAGTTCGATTTTGACCCTACGTTCCTTTGATCCCTTACGAAGAAGTCAGCCAATCAAAAAAGACTCTCGACACACAAATGTCAAAATTTCTCTCTCTCTTTTTCAGTAAAAAGAAAACCTCAAGGAGCCTTTTTTGTTTTCTTCTAAACTTGACTCTTCATTTTACAAGGTCATTTGGATGCGGGATTGAGTAAATGACAAAAATAAAACAGCAAAAAATTTCGAAAATAGCATCAAATTTTAGAATAAGTTTAGATTTGCTCGAATTGGTCACTTTTGGTACGAATTATGGCCTTCAAACGGACAATGAAACCGCCCGAATGTTGCTCGGCTATATTTTGGCCCATTCTCGGCGAAGCGCTTTCTTGATATGATCGACACTTTGGTATTTTTTAGTGTCAACCTTGCTTTCCAAAATACTCCAGACAAAATAGTCCAACGGATTGGTATCCGGAGATTTTGGTGGCCATTGTGCGCTGGAAATGAAGCGAGCGTGTGCTGAGTGTGATGGTGCTGAGTCCTGTGGGAATGTCCAAGGTCTTCGGCCAAAATGTTTGCGTGTCCCTCCAGAATATTTTTGCGATAATATTCGGCATTTATTCTGATGCCGATGTCGATGATGTCGATTAATACGAGCGGAGATCGAACATAGGCTGTTATGGCGGCCCACACCATCACCATGACCGGCGCTTGAGTTCTGTTGGTCAACCGAAGGTGCACATTTTCCGCCGATCTCTTTGGCAAGTAAACACGATCATTTTGTTTGTTTACAAACTGCTGGACAACGAATGTTTTCTCATCGGAGAAAACCCAATTCGGCAGTTCACCACTTTCGGCCAAGCGTTGCTTCGTTGCTTCGCTTCTTTAGCTCTTTTGAGTCTATTTTCTTTCTGTTGCGGTGTAAGTTTCAATATTTCAATATTTGCCGAATGGAATATTGCGATATGTTCAGCTCACGAACCATTTTCGTGACTCGGGCTTCGATCAAGTCGTTTCTTTGCTTTTCCAACCATTTATGCTGATGTTGCTGTTTTCTTCCGTCCACTTCCTTGACGTCAGGCTACGGCCTTCCAGTATCACGGTAACGAGCGTTGGTACGAGACAAAGAAGATTTATTCACATTTAAATGCTGGAGTGCTCAAACGATAGCCACTTGTGGATTTTCCAGATATAAGAAGATATAAAGAAATCACACTATCACGCTTGAATTCCATCACGAATAACATTTTTTCTGGAAAGTTCTCACCAAAATGCTTTTGTAGGCTTATAAACGATATAATGAGCTGTCACTGGAATAATTTTAACAGCTATCGGACGAGTGCTTAGAAATGAAAGCAGTCTGAATTTGGTTGTAGTTTTTTCATCTCACCCTGTATTACATATGTCTAGATGGGGGAAGGAGACGACTTTACGTTAAATGCATGTTGTCATTAATTACGGATTTCCATATTGAACTCAATCGTTTACAAATGATTGGTTGCAATATTCTTGAACAGAAAATAGGCGTTCCCAATAAACGACAAATTACAGTATTTTGAATGACCCTGAATTTAGGTCGAGGTAGTCTAACGGAATTCAAATATTCCTCAAGTTCAATATAGGAAAAAAAATACAAATATCATATTTGGCATAAAAGCCAATCTACTCAAATTTCAAATGTCTATCATTACTTGAAGTCTGCGACTACTTTGATGTGCCAAGGAAAGTTTAAGAGGTCATCTTTATTTTTCGTTCAAAACGTTTTGATTTCAATATGAACATTCAAGAGTATTGAATAGTTATTGGTAAGTGTACGTACTACTTGCACAAACACTTTGGACAGTACAAACATACATACAAACATATTTAAATAATTAATGAACACTGATCGCATGAACTCATCTCCCGATACAAATAACAATCATGGCACATGGACACATATTGTATGTTGCTTGCTTTATATTTTGAATTCCTTATCGAATCACTTAGTTTGCGTATAACAAATCAAATAGATTGGAGGAAAAATAACAATATTAAGATATTTGTTTTCGAAATGCTTAATGAATTTCAGAGGCTACATGCCACCATGCATCGTTAATTGAATACGAAATAGAAACGAAAATGAAACATTGTACATATATTATTTGGAGAACTGGAAATTATTTTTAGTTTTTACATCACAATGTGGGGGAAATTTGAATCCCGAAGATATAGTTTCAGATACTATTTTCCATAATAGAAGATTGTTTTTGGCGTTTTTGATTGCCCTACTTTACCAAAAGAAGTTGCAAAGCTATTTTTATCGAACCAGAGTTCTCACGATTTTTTTTCTACACAAAAATATTGAATAATTTTTTTTCATAAAACTATTTTAATTTACATCCGACATTGTATAGCCTCTTCAGTTAATATGTCTATCATTTTATAAATCTAAAACTAAAATGTTATGGGAATTATTTGGAAATGGCTATTGTTTACTAATTTTTTAGGAAGTTGTATGCATGAATAATAGTTTATAAATATATTTGAAATACACTGCATGCACATATATAAAATTATAAACACTGTCAGTTTTTATACATTGTTTATCTTTAAATAATCCCCTTTCACGAATAAACAAATTGTCAAGTGTTAATACTTTTAATTAATGCGTACATAAATTAAAAACAAAAATCTGCAGAAATTTGATTGGAATATTCTGGCACTTCTTCTTGCGATGTACATGGGTGCATATACAGGGTGAGATGAAAAAACGGCAACCAACTTCAGACTGCTGTCATCTCTAAGCCACTTGTCCGACAGCTGTTAAAATTATTCCAGTGACAGTCCGTTATTTTGTTTACAAGCGTACACAAGCATTTTGGTGAGAATTTTTCAGAAAAAAAGTTATTCGTGATGGAATTCAAGCGTGATAGTGTGATTTCTTTATATTTGGCTGGAAAACCCCAAGTGGCTATCGATAGAGCACTCCAGCATTTTAATGTGAAAAAATCTTTTGTGTCTCCTACCATCGCTCGTTACCGTGATACTGGAAGCCCGTAGCCCGACGTCAAGGAAGTGGACGGAAGAAAACAGCAACATCAGCAGAAATGGTTCGAAAATTAAAGAATCTACTTGATCCAAACCCTCGTCGCAGTGGCCGAAAAATGGCTCGTGAGCTGAACATATCGCAATATTCCATTGGGCAAATATTGAACAATGAGCTCGGGATAAAGCAATTGAAATTCCCAAAAGTGCAAGAATTTACACCGCAACAGAAAGAAAAAAATCGTTGTCCAGCAGTTTGTAAAGAAACAAAATGGTCGTATTTTCTTGCCAAAGAGGTCAGCTGAAAATGTGCACCTTCGGTTGGTTCGGTTGGCCACCAGAACTCAAGCGCCGGCCATGGTGATGATGTGGACCGCCATAACAGCCGATGGTAGCTCTCCGCTCGTATTAATCGACCGTGACATCAGAATATATGCCGAATATTATCGCGAAAATATTCTGGAGGGTGTATTAAAGCCTTAGGGACGCAAACATTTTGACCGCAGACGGACTCAGCACCATCGCACTCAGTACGCGCCACCCAAGATTGGTTTAAAAATGAGTTTCCTCGCTTCAGTTCCAGCACACAATTGCCACCAAAATCTCCGGAAACCAATCCATTAGACTATTGTGTCTGGAGTATTTTGGAAAGCAAGGTTGGCACTAAAAAATACCAAAGTGTCGATCACCTCAAGCA